TAATAATCGATTAATTATAAATCCAATTCTTCATCTAATTGTAATAATAATATCACATTCAATAAATCTTTTAAGAAAATATAAATTAAGTTGAGAATCGGACCGTTAATAACAACGGCACTATCAACAAATACTGTATAGTTAAAATATTATTTCTCATTATACTTAATTATTAGAATAATAGTTAAATTAAACGATTGAGCATTTTTTATTTAATATTTTAACGCCACGTCCAATATAATCTTTACTGGAGGATACAGTACATGAATTTAACTAAATGCATATGTTATAGGAATAAAAAAGATAAATCTATAATTTTACCTGATTTTAATAATCGATTAATTATAAATCCAATTCTTCGTCTAATTGTAATAATAATATCATATTCAATAAATCTTTTAAGAAAATATAAATTATAAACAAAATGTAGTACTAACTTATTTCGATGTATTTAATAAATTGGCTGATTTTACTGATTTTACCAGTTACTTCTTTATCTTGAATAAAAGTTTGAATGTTATCAGCTTGTATAAATTGATCATAGAATTCACCAATACACCATCTTCTAAATATCATCTCTAATTCAGTAGCTGAAGGTCTTTCTAATATATTATTATCCCAACATCTTTTTATTAAATCCATATAACATTTAGGAGTTCCTTCAACAATAGAAGGCCTTTCACCTTTGCATATCCTTAATGCCAATAGAGAATCATAATCATTTTCAAAAAAAGGGTATTGACCTGATGTTAACATCCACATAATCATTCCAAAACTATAGACATCAGAAGCAGCAGTATATTCACCACCACGTAAAACTTCAGGAGCAACGAACGGTAATACGCCATATACGCCAAATTCAGATGATTCTTCATTTACCGGATGGTTTAATTCTAAATCTGCTAAATAAGCTTTACCTCCTTGTCCTATTAAAACGTTGCCAGTATGAAGATTATGATGTAAAAGACCAACTCCATGAATTATTCTCAATCCAATAGCCATATCGTTCAATAATGTTAATTTATCATTCCAGTTAAGTGATGAAAAATTATTTTTTAAATAATGATGTAAATCTCTATTTTCTTCCAAATTCATTATAAGCAAATATGCTTCTGTAATGGGATCTTTACTTAGACCATAACATCTAATTATCTTTAGATCTTCGATATCGCTCGCATGTGACGTAACACATTGTATGTACGCATTTAATTTACGTAAAAATCCTTGAGAAATATTAGCCGAATAACCAAGACTTTTAATAACAACATTTTGTTGACCATATCTTTCAATTTTTCCAAATAACATAGTTAAAGGACCATTTTTCCATACAGCAGAATAAACGGTACCAAATTTACCTTTTCCAATTTGATTAATATTTTCAAATTCATCATAAGGTATCCATTCTATATAATCAAGTGAATTCTTTGTTTTTGATTGAGTATCATTAATTATTTTATCAATAATTTCATGATCGCTTGTAAATTTTGATAAATTTTCATTAAAATATTCTCTTGCACAATTTTGACACCAATCATATCCTGATAATAATTGTTCACAATTAAAACATATTGGTATACATAACCTTAAAAATATACTCGAAATATTAATAAAATAATATTTTCGTGAATCATCACAAAAAAAATTGATGTATATATATACTAATAATATGATTAAAGAAACACTTAAAAATATTTGTAAATATTCATAAATAGCATAAGATAATATATCAACAACTGATCTTGGTGTAAATAACATTTCTAATAAGATTTTAAACCAAATAACCATAAAAATTGTTGGAATACAACAATAAAGAGATTTTTCAATTATTTCTCCAAATAAAGTTCGATCTTGTAAAGAATTATTAAAAAATAAACATAATATTATATAAATTAATGAATTTAAATTAATAAATTCATAAAATATTAATAATATGAGAATAATTATAAATAAATATACTTGACGTGGTTCATTTTTATAAAATTTACGAATTGTCCATCGTAATTCTTGTTTTGATAATCGTATTCTTTTTGGTTCGATATATGATATAATATAAAATATTCCTATTAATAAAATTATTGTTTCGAATGGTGTTTGAATTCTTGCATCTTTAGTATATAATAACCATATACTCGCATCCAATGCCGCAATAATAAATGCTATCAAGCCATATTTCCATCCTTTACGAAAAATGATCCACTTAATAATTTCTTTTAAAACAGTTAACAACATGGTATAAGAATATAAACATATAATTATTTATTTCATAAAATTAACTTCAATTGGAAAAACATTCGAACAATATAAACGTTTCAGCATTAAGGGGGGAATAATAGTGTATCATGGTGATCAAAACGTGATATTCCTAATATTTTCTCACCCATGTTCCGGAAAATTTTCTGGTTATTCTCTGAAATATCCAGGCCTGTCCGGAAACGTACCGACATGTCGAATTATACGGATACCGCTAATTTACCTAAGAGGGGATTTCTTTTGTAACAGATAAGTCGAACAAATGGACCTCGATAATTTTTCTGTGAAACGTGACCGGAAGCAGGGGTGGTAGAAATTCGGCCTCAATGATTTCTTCCTTAGATGGTTCTCTAATAAGTTTACTCTTTGTTGACGATTTTTTCTCGATACGATGCGCGCGCACATGTGCTGATGTGCGCATTCACACGAGAGAAAAAAATCGCGCCTTTTTCACTATATTTCTTGTTTACAAAATTTTGGAAATAACTATCCTAAAATAATATTAATTCAGCTATAAAAAACTTTTATCAGCAGTGACTTTAACAGTTACAACAGTTACAGTTCGCTTGCTATAACTAAATTAATATAGATGTCCGATACTATTACATCAGAACTAAAGTTATAGCATAATTTTTGCCAAAATTTTATACAAGTATAGCAATAAGCAATAAATAAATAAATAAATGATTCAAGAGCCCATAAGTTAGTAGAGATTAGGGAAGGGTCATACGTGAAATACGTGAAAATAACCGGTTTATATAACGGGCTTAACATCATGTAGCAAATATCTAGCCACCGATAAAATAATCAATCTTTTTTTAACTAACAAATCCGTGAAAATATCGTCACGAACGACTAATATGAACTATAATTAAATAGAAGAAATCATTCAAGAAATTGGTGTTTATTTATTTATTTACTGAATCTAATACAATTTATGGATTATTTGATTCTAATTTTAACAATTTTTTCAAAGAAAATAAAGAAATCTACTAACGAACATAAACTGTATCATTTTAGAATATTACAAAGCCTATTTTAAGAAGAAGAAGAAGAAAAAAAAGCAAGCCGAACCTCTTCCAGCTGGTAAGATGACAATCGTATCGAAATAAGCAAACCTTGAACGTCATAGTCATGTGAAATTACAGAAATTATTTACCTTATTCACCGCAGGGAGGAATTTCCAATCTATTATAAATCATATAAATCATTGTGTCCATTGTACAACTCTTTATATTATTTGTTCGCGGGTCGATGTAAATTGTGCATATTGTATAAAAATTAATTTGGTAAGTATAACGGCGTGCATTAACTACAGACTTGTTAAAGTTAGAAACAAATATTTTTTTTGTACTCGTAATTAAAATTTATATTGAATAAACGAGAACAATATAAATACGCCCTCGATTTTTTTTTCCTAGATAATAAAAAAATTTTTTTTTTTTTTCCTTTTAAAATTTTGAAGGGAGAATACCGACGCCCTAATTTTTTTTTAGCAAATCACATTGTTTAAAAAAAACCTTGTTTATATATATTATTATAAAATAGATTTTCAAAAAAAAAAAAAAAATTTAAAAAAAAAAATAAAATAAAAAAAGTTTTTTTTTTTTTTCTTTTTAAAATCATTATAAACATTTATTCGATTATCCAATAAATAAAATATATACATAAAAATGCATGAAACAACTGATTCTAGTAATGATAAAGTTTCATTCAAATTTAAAATTTCTGCGAAATTAGTACAAACTCAACGATCGATATATACGCCTCCATTCGCTACGACACAAAATATGTTTTGGCAATTAAAATTTCATCCGGTATTTAATTTTTTTTTTATTATTTGAAAAAATAAAATTCTTTTTTTTAATAATAATTAATATACTAAAAATTATTATCTTTTTTTTTTTTCAGGAAAGTAAAGATCATAATGAATTTTGCGCCCTTTGGTTAGTAGCTTTACCAAATCCGATAGAAAAATATTCACCAGAAAATTGGTCAGATAGATCAAAATATTCTGTTACATACTTTATGAAAAATCCCTGTGAAAAATTAAATTTTGGTAAATTAGAAAATTATAATGCTAGATCCCCGGTATGGGGTTTTACAAAATTTTGTAAAAAAGATCGTTTACCAAAAGAAGGGGAAATAACTATTGGAGTGAGATTTAATAAAGTTAAATATGAAACTGAAAAGATTGCTACACCTCTTCCTTCTCAACCATTTCCTCAAGATTTATTAAAAGCTTGGAAATTAGAATTGGATCAACCCAATATTTCTGATGTGCAATTTCATTTTAATGATTTTAATGATAAAATCTTATATGCGAGAAGTTCTATATTAGTTGAACGTTCAGAATATTTTAGATGTATGTTTCAACAAGATAAATGGTCAGAATCAAAATTTACAACAAATTCTTCGACAACAAAAGCCTTAATAACTTCCCCAATTTCATCAAAATCTTGCTCATCAACGATTTCAACGAAAAGATCTTGGAATAATCTCTTTGATTTATATTCAACAATGTATCGTAGAATAAAAACAATTAAATCACCAACATCAACATCAGCGAGGACATCAACGACGACATTGGTAACATCATCCTTTGGAACCACTTGTACAATAATATATGGAGGTGAAAATATTTCCACAAAGGTTCCAAAGAAGTATATAGTAAATGTAAGTGATTTTCATCATGATACATTCAAAACAATGTTAAAATTTCTTTACACGAATCAAGTGGAATTTTATCCGAATTCATTATACAAACGACCTATAGACCTATTCATAATAGCAGATAAATATTTAATAACAGAGTTAAGGGATCGTTCTAAATCAAAAATTCTTAAAGATTTAAAACCTGATGGTGCAGTAGAAATGTTATTTAATACAGAATGGTTCTGGCCTGATTTAAAAGAAATGATTATGAAATATGTTGTAAAAAAATGGGAGATAGTTAGAGAAACTGATAAATATAAAGAAATATTAGAAAAGCCTCAAGATTATCCTAATTCTAAAGAACTTGTAGAAGAAATTATGGAGAGAGTTAGAGAAGATGATGAAAGAAAAAAAATCTCTCAAGAAACCACTTCTGTTAGCGTTAGCGCTAATTAATAATATTTTGGTATGTTTGACAAAAAAATAATAATTATTCATTGGACAGTTTTTTTTTTTATTTTTTTTATCTTTTTTTATAAGACTTAATTTGTAATAATTTATTTGTATAAAAAAAAAATTTATTAGATGGGAAAAAAAAAAGTAATAATTAGATGAATAAATAAATAATAATGTACTGTATATACTATATAGAGGATATATTTTCATATTAAAAATATTAAAAAGAAACTTATGTAATCGTTTTTTCTTGTTTATTTCTGGAATCCCGCCCACAAAATGCGAAGCATTTATCGGATAACTTCGTGATAAGATTACGATAATACGGATATTACGATATTACGTATCTTTTAGATAAACCATTGGTTTCCCATAAAGTTTGATGACAATTTCAACGCCAACTGTAATTAATATATTTTTAAAAATAATTCTTGATTTTATTTACAAAATTTAAAATATTTATAATATTTAAAAAAAATATTTGGAAGTATTCTAAAAAAAAAAATACATTAAAAGAAATATAATTATTTAAAAGAAAAAGAAACAAAAAAAAAGAATATCTGTAATTATTTAAGAAATAAATTTAATATGATGATTCAATAATTGGTTTTGGTTGTGCGCTAAAAGAGTTCCTCATTTTCAGGAATTCCTCAGGTGTAATAACCTTGATGTGAGAAGATTGTACATTTTTTGTACCTGTTATCATATAATTATATTCCCTAATAGATAATAATAATTCAGAATATTAGAAATAGACGTCACCAAATAATAAAACAGAATCAAAATATTGTTGAAAATGCTCACATAGTATTAATTTCATCTCCTACAACACCCCAATTACCATTACCAGCTCCAGATTTCTTTAGAGGACCGCGAATATCAATTAATGTTCCGCTATTTAAAAAAAATATAAAATTATTTAATATTTAAACATCAATAAATAATAAATAATATTACATACCGTTGATGATGTTTCTTATAGACAGAAGTACCATTTTGTTTCTTACTATCAGCAATCATTATTTTAATGTTCTTTTGAAAAAATGAATAATATAAAAAATAATTTACTGCTTGATCGAAATCAAAGTTAATTTATAGTATTTCCGTAGAGGAAAGTCAAGTGCTTTTGTTTAATCACGCAATCTTTTACGTTGTGTATGGGAATATGCTAAGCATTAGAATGTAAACAAATGAGACGATCAGTTGTGGCCAACTTTCTAAAATAAACCCGATTTAGGCCAAATTTGAATCATCAACCGAGTTCATATGATCTACACAGCATTGATCACGCGCTCTTGAGAGAATAATAAAGATCGCATGATTGCTTTTGTGTAAAATAGAGCTTCTCGAAATTGTTTTAAATTTTGCCTAAAAGAGAAAAAATTATTTCATTTGTCAAATCATACGTAATTCAACACTGCCTACTTAACAATAAATAGAATGAATCGAAAATAATCGAAAATATCATTTCTCCCCAACATCTGTTTTAAAATGAATGACTCATTTTTTATCAATAATAATTTTTTTGACAACAATAGCACTATTTAGTTTATATTTAACTTTATTGGTAAAGTAATTGTTTCTTTCATTTAATAAGTTTGGTAAAAAATAACCTGAATTTGAATTTCATATTACTTTTATGTCTTTGATAAGGTCATGGATTTCCATAAAAGAAAAAATATATTTATAGTGCCAAGTACTGTAATGATGGTTACACAAGTATAATCCTGAAAATCTATTGTCTAAGCATATATATATAATTTTTGTGTTTCAAATCAAGAAAATACTTTTAATAAAAAAAAGAAGATCGAAATATTTAATTAAAAATATTGTTGTAAATTGCTACCTCTAAATTTTAATAAATATTAAATGTAATTAATAAACAAAATTTCCAAATAATATTTAATTAATTTTATCTGTTCGGTTGCATTTGTATATTCATTTATATTATTATTTTATAGTATGTCCGACAGTCCGACTACAGAAGGGATTCACCTTATTAAGTTATTCTTTCTATCTTTCCTTTTTTATTTAAAAAATTATTATTTTTTTTTTTTTACATTTTTATTTGCGATTTATGTTAATTACAAACATGTCTGGTCTAATAATATTAAAAATCAAAACCAAAAATTTTTAATACTCAATTAAAAATAAATAAAAGAAAAACAATTACAATTTTTTATTAAATGAAAGTTGAGTGGTTTGATTAAATAGTTATTCTTACATGTCGATGTTTATGTTTTCCGGATTAACATTCCTCCAAAAGATTTCGGAGAATTTTGATTGGTTATATTTCAGTATGACATAGTCGTTTGTGATCTACAAATACCGGGATCTCCGGGCCTCCTGTTGAAAAAAATGGGACGCGAACGTTCTATTCTTTTTTTTTTCCAGATATGTTAAAAAAAAAAGAAAAAAGAAAGAAAGAAAGAAAACCTGAATAATAATTATAATTTTCTATAAATAAAATTTCAAATTTGTAATTAAATCCCTTATATTTCTAAGTATTCACAATGAATTAAGCCAACTAGTACAAATTTTATTATAAAATCTAAAAAAGTATTAAAATTTCCATCAAATCAAAGTAATAATTTCCTTTTAACCAATCCTTATAATGATAAACCAAAAAGACCCATGTAATTTATAACCATTTAATAACCAAATTTAGTAATTTAGAATCGGAGAAAGGATTATATACCAAATATAATCTTATTGATTTTTTTTGAATGCGTGGCACGATTTTGTATTTTTCAATAAGGTTTTTTCACTAACTATTAGAAGAAAAGTAGTAAAGTGTCATGTGCTTGTCGTAATCCTTTTTTTTATATCTCAATTTGTGGACTATAATAAAGTTTTTTTAAAGGTGTTGATCCACACATCCACAAAAAAAAAAAAAATGAAAACCGCAACACAAAAATTAAAGCACGAAGAATCTTTTATCCAATCAAAATATATATAGAATATTAAATAATTTAATTATAAAGGTTTCGCGAAATATTAAAACTACGTATTTTAATTTTTCCGTAATAATAGATAAAATTTTTCCAGCATAACTGAATTTGGGAAATTGTATGTCGGAGTACCATTTATTAAGGATGACATTACGCACCGGTATAAAAATATAAAGGCCTTCAAAAATTTTCCTGTTTTTTCTTGTTTATTTTTTATCAAGTATTACAAATAAATGCTAGAAATATAAATATAATAAAATAAAAAAAAACAGTTTTTTTTTAACGGAGCCTCTTTATACAAAACGTTCGCAATAATTTTTTAATACATTCTTTAAATTTTATCCTTTCACTCTTAAAAAATAAAGCCATTTTTTTGGCGATAAATCCGTCAACCATTATACATAACGAAATATATCAAAACGCAACGAATAAAATTCATAATGTCATATTCATTAGAAGCAATTTTTTACATTACATTACAGAGCATAAGCATTTTGTTATTATTGTATCTTGTTTTCAATATTTTAAAATCAAAATCATCCTTTACAAAATGGACATTATTTCAATTATGTATCTCTGCATTGGGAGATGAATTAACTAATCTTCCACCAATAATAATTTACGGAGATAATTTATTAGAACGAGCAAATGAAACCCCCCTATGTATAATCTTACAAAAGATTTCATCATATTTCTTATATCCTTTAGAGTTTTTCTCTTTAACATTAACTTTCTATCTATGGCATGCATTAATTACGCAAAAGCTTGATATTGAAAAGAAATGTTTTGTATACATTTCTGGAATGATTTGGGGTTATACAACTATTTATAATGGAATTTTATTAAGAAATATTGGTAAAGATGATATTTTAGTAAGTAAGTTAAGTTGTAATAAGATCAGTAATAGTAATCTGGTTTACTATGGATACATCATACCTACAACTATCCTAGTTTTTTGCGCAATTTTAATATCATGTGAGTTCGTGAGCTCGATACTTTAATATATATGCTGTTCATTGCTTTTTAATGCTTATTTTTTACTTGAAATATTAGGTCACTCAACATTGATGTTATGGAGATATTGGATAAATTTTTCCAATTATTCGAACAGAAGAAATGCAATTAAATTAGGAGAAGCTGCGCGTTTATGCGTTTGGTGTTATATATCTGTAATTTTGTTGCTCTTATTATTAATTCCTCGAGCAATATATCATGATCCAACGAATGTATTGATTGTTGAAATTTGTAATTTTGGTTCAGCTTTAGTGTAAGTTTAAAAATTTTTTTTTTTGCTTAATTATTCGATATATTAAATTTTAATCTTAATATTTTTAGCGGAACACTTTTATTTCTGGTATTCGGGACCCAAAAAAAGGCGGCAGTCTTTCTTCCATGTTGTTATTATGTTCCACCAGGAACTCCCCAATTTCTTCCTGATGAAACAACGGACGGAAATAATAATAATTCAAATGAATTAACTCAAATGCCTATTGCGCATATAAGACAAAAATAACAAAATTTTACCAAGTTAATATATGTTTATTTGTAATATAAAAAAACCCCCTTCCTTCTTTGTATACATGTGATCGCTGAATTTTCATTAGTAACCTTGTATTATATGAAGTATTTATATAGTGAATTTTTCAAGAAAAAAAAAAAAAAAAAAATTTTTCTTGTTTCCCCGATTTAAAAGATTGTTATGTATAGTAAATGCATCATAAACGTCTGAAAATGCATTATTACATCTTATATTTCCAATTTTATTACATTATAAGACAAAATTAGTGTAAAAAAAAAATGTAAAAATACATCATTAAAATCATCAATTAAAGAATTTCTCGGATGTCATCAATATCTAACTCTTATTTGATCGACAAATTTGATTTTCTATGTGGGCTTAATAAGTTGTTCCTATTACATAATAAGATTACGTAATCAAAAGTTGGTGAACGTTCACAAATTTTGAATTCGGCTGTTTGTTTTGTTCATTTTGTCACCTCACATCAAAAAAAAAAAAAAAAAAATTTTGAAAAAAAAAAGATAACACCAATTATTTGTTTTATTGTAAATTTGAAATTGATTTTCGTTTAAATTATTACAACATTATTTGTTAACCAATAATAATTTAGGAAATATATTATTTATATTTTAAAAAAATAAAAAAACTCCCATATATATAAATACTGTTTGGCTTTTTTTAGCTTTTTTGGTACATGTTAGTTATGAAAAGATTTTAAATTGTGGAATTTAATATTTGTTTAAAAAAAATCTGTTATAAATAAAGTTATATATTTAGTACTTGAACCATTCAAAATCCCGACGATCAGAATCCGTTACAATACTGACAAATCATAATCATCACGAAAGGTTCAATCCTGACACTTATTTATCCTGAAACTTAATATTATCAATATTATCTTTTTTTTAATTTTTTTTTAGGTGTAAATGATTTTAATAATTTTGTAATACTTTGTAATAATTAATATTTTTATAATAATTTAAAATAATTTTTATTTTGATTATAATATTAAGTTTCAGGATAATGAGTGTCAACTGTCGAGATTTTTGTTAGGATTGTGAACGTAAGTATTGTAGTAATACTGTTTCATACGCAGTTATGATGTCATACGGCTTTCAAATAACGTGATCAAAATAGTAACGTGATCATTAACTTGATGACGTGATCAATAATTAGTCATAGTTGTAAAGAGAAATTTGGCCATAAAAAAATTCTATATGCATTTAGATGGATCCTGCATTTAGATGAATCTTGCATTTAGATGGATCTTGCATTTAGATGGATCCTGCCTTTAGATGGATCTGCCTTTAGATGGATCTTGCCTTTAGATGGATCTTTAAGTATTTCAAACAAAAAAAAATTAGTTATTCCATCACTTATCGTTATATTAATGGTTTAAAAAAGTACTATTGCCCTACTACACAACCAAACCGTTCTTATCATAGATTGGGTCAATTTTTTCGCTAATGAATTATAATAAACAGAATTGGTCGTAGTAGTTTAACCCAGATTCATTGAATTACCTAATAATTATGTAAATAAAGCAAGCACGAGAAAAACTATTAAATCAAAATATTCATAACAATTTATTTCAAATAGTTTATATATTAAAATTTATTACATCAAATGTAATAGTGATAAAATTTATTAGATAATACTATTTAATGATATAGATATAAAATTAGATAAGAGATTCAATTTAATTGAAAAAAATATATAAATTTAAAATTATAAAAATTTGTTAAATTATAAGATTGAAAATTATTATATTCGAAATTCCAAATCCAGATGTTTCCGCATAAACAAAAAAGAACGGAAATATGGTTTCAAAGATAATTATGTGTGAAAAGAATGGTATATTCCACATATAATTTAATTATTAACAATTTGGAGAACAAGAGTTTTTACAATGTGGATTTGCTACGACAGTATTTAATACAGAAGTGCATTCATTCTTAATGCTCTGACTGCAATCATTATTTCTCTCCAAGCTGACCAAGTACAGCAATTACATCTACTACAAGAACTTAAATTTTGACAATTCTGAATACGTTTAATAAGGCTTAAACGATTGCATACAGCCTCAGTTTGATATAATACCAAACTGAAGATTAAGAAACACCAGATTAATTTTATAATTTAGTGATTTTTTTTTTAGCAGAAGGGTAGTTCGAACCAATATAATATTTATATTAATTAGACAAGATTACGTTTTTTAATACATTGCTATTGAAGGACAAAGCTTAGTCAACATTCTTGTAATAATCCGGTTAGTAGATGACAATATCTGGCATGCATGAATTAATTTGTGATGTCTATCATTATTATATGGTTTGGTTTTCTATTTTTAGCTTATAGTATTGGGAAGAAATGATCTTTTATTATTTTTTTTAACTTACCAAAGGAAAATTAGAGGTTATGAAGTATGATTATCTTTTTATCCCTCTTTGGGACAATATTAAAATTGAAATTTAATTCTTGATGACAAAATTCTGATTACAAATTTATAATATAATTTTAAAAGGAAAAAGGAAAATTGCCTATTTATCCTTCTTTGGGATAACAAATTTAAATATGATTTTATACTTATATAATGTTTCTTCGATTTATTAATTAATTTATTTCTTTTTTAGCAATATTCACGGAATTTATAATATTCCGAAGCGAAGCGCGGGATAATACTTTTATTATCACGTGAAATTTCGTAATAATCGTCCGTTTCACAAAGTTTCAATTGCTAACTTTAAAAAACCTGATTGTGACACAATGAACATTTTTCTCATTCAGAATGGATGCTAGCTCCACACTTTTACTTTCACCGCAAAAAAAAAAAGCTTTTTTTCATACAAAATAAGCGCATTTTCTTATTTGTAATGTAAAATGTTGTTACATCACACATTAACTAATTTTAGAATACAGTATATCAAATACATTATTACTTGTGAAGAATTCTTCCTTCTTATCTGATAAAGATTTTTTGCAAGAAATCGAATTTATATTAGTATAATAGTAATAAATATCATATATCGTTTAACAGGTATTCATGAAGAAAAGAATTCTATTTAATAGATTCCTTTTATTCCAATATGATTATGAGTTTTTGTTTTTTTTTTCCTATCCGCAGAATATATTAAAAAAGATTTTCAAATTTTTTAAATTTTTAAATTTTTTAAGGTTAATCAAAGTTCGATTAGTCATTCATGAGATAATTCGATAAGCAAGTCGATCATGGGGTATAAATATGTCAAAAAAATGAGTGAACCTGAAATGAAATTTTGAATCCTCATCATTCTCCTAAAAATGCCATCCAAGTTCAAACTTCCGATTATTGATGTTTCTCCATTCACCACTGATTCAAGTGATCGAGCAGCAAAACTTGAAGTGGCTAAACAAATTCATAAAGCATGTCGTGACGTTGGATTTTTCTATTTGACGGGTCATAATATACCTCAAGAAATTATGGATAAAACATTGAAATTAGGTTATGAATTTTTTCATTTACCAGATGAAGAAAAATTTAATTATAGTATAACCAAGCAAGATAATGCAAGGTTTGTTTTTTATTTATAAAAATTTCGTGTTTTTTGATTAGATTATATAAAAAATAACCGTATATATTTATTATTTTTTACTTTAAAGAGGATATCAAAGACTTGGTGAGGGTGTTACAAAATATCAAAAAGATTGGAATGAGGTAATTTATTTTATTAAGAATTATAATGAATAAATGCAAATTATAATTAACATGTAAACGTTTCAGGCACTTGATTTCTATAAACCAGTACCTCGTACTCATCCGTTAGCTTTAAAAAAACTTCCTATCGGAGGCGAAAATCAATGGCCTGAGAAACCATCAGAATTTCGTGCGGTATTTAATGAATATAAAGATTATATGTTGAGACTAGGTGATCAAGTTATGAGAGCCATTGCATTAAGTTTAGGACTGGAAGAAAATTTTTTTAATAAATTTTTAGATGATTGCTTTTGGTAAAGTATCTTAACAAAGTATATGCTACAATCACGGGACATTAATTTAACTTAAGATATTGTAGGGTTATGAGAATTAGTGGATATCCGGATCTTAGGAGTGCATCCGGAAAAGATCGAGTAGGTTTTAGCCTCGGCGAACATACAGGTGATAATTTATATTTGATATTTATACATGTATTATTCTTTATTATTGCTTCGTATAATTCAACTTAAACTTATATATATATTCTTTTTTCAAAAGATTATGGGTATGTATACATAATACGTATGAATCTTGCAAACCTTTTCTAAAACTTGGTATTCACATCATTTTAATCAATAATTAGTTTGTTAACCTTCTTAAATCAGGTAAAGTCTATTTTATTTTTGATTATTAATTCGAATCATAAATATTAATATTTATAATGCGATCTTATATTACAAAGGATGATACCAAAGGAGCCTTACAAGTTCAAACATCTGATGGTGATTGGATTAATGCGGATCCACTACAGGGTGCTTTTGTGGTGAACATCTGTGATATGTTGAATGTAATAAATTTGTTATGATAGTAAACTTTTTTTTTTTTAATATTAATTATTACAATAAAATTAACAACAATGATAACAATATAGGTTTGGACAAATAATATATATAAAAGTACTCTTCATAGAGTTGTTCACAAAGGGGACAGTTACCGTGTAACGTAAGTATTTTAATCTTTCTGCAATGCCGCATCTTTTATTGCGTTAAATAATTCTTTTTTAAAAAAAAATGTCGCGTTAAATGATTCTTTTGTTTAAAAAAAAACCTTTTTTTTTTAGTGTTCCGTTCTTTTATGAGCCCAACTATGATGCTAAAGTAGAACCACTTGAGGCTTGTTTACAAATTGATCCCGTGAAACATCATGAACCCATTATATTTGGAGAACATTTGTTGAAAAAGGTTTCAGGAAATTTTGAAATTATCGATCATAATTTTTTGTAACTAATCATCGAAAAATCTCTTCTTTTTCTATTTAATTTATTATTCTCTTTAAAAAATTGTAATAAATAATTTATTAAAATTGTTACTATTTTATATTTTTATAATGATGGAACTGAAATTTATCTAAATTTTAAAAGAAATGTATGCGTAATATTATTAATTAAATCTTCTAAAAGACCATCTTTATAGTATTAATTAATCTGACATTTCCGATGAGATCATGATTGTTAAAATAATGTATGAGTTGGAGACATTTTGATCATATAAAAATCTGCATAAATACGCCCCTTTTATTGGTTCAAACCGTAAAATTATTAACTGGCTTATTAAAAACTATACTATATATTATAAATTAAATTAGTCAAAACTTCATTTATGAAGCGGTCTGTTTGAATCTGATCTGCCTTTTTCTTAGCAGGTCCAGGCTCCTTAGCTAGAGTCCTTTTTGGCCTTCTGCATAGCAAATAATAATTGCTTAATTTCATTATTTGATATTACAGATCCTAATGTTTTGTTAATATACTTTTTAATAATAAAATTTTATATATAACTTTAATAATAAACTTTTTACTATATTTTTATTTTTACCAATTATTACAGACTTACAATAATGTACAGTATGTAAGAGATTGAATGGTCATGATTTCAAACATCCAAACTAACTTTATAATAATATATTATTCTATTCGTGCATGATCTCAGTTTTATTGAATAACATCATCTAAGTTCAAATACCAATAAATTACTTCTTCAAATATACTATTGACAACCTTAAATAATAAATTTTAACCGGTTAAGGCAGTGATGCTCACTGGAAGACTTATTGGAAACTTCTAAATTCTAATGTATACATATACTGTACGAAAAAAAAATAAACTATTGATTAGAAGATCCAAATTCAATGAGTCATTGGAAACTTTTAAGAATATCCCCGGATTAAAGACGTCCCAATAATCGGATAATCCGGATAATCGAGTAAAAACTATTTAGTTGGTCAGAGAATTAAAATATGTTTTTCTACACAAAAAACAAAAATTTAAAATTTTACAGAAATTTTTTTATAAACCAGTTAGTTAACAGGTTAAATCCATTTAACCGGTTTTTAGCCGGTTAAAGGATTTATTTGGTCCGATTTTAATTCTCTAAAAAGGTACTCTTTATTGTAATTCTACATTACACAAAAAATAAACAAAAAAAGAAAAAAAGAAAGTTTTTTTTAATGCTTTTAATTATTGTTTTCCTGCTTTAAAACAGGTTAAATTTTTTTTACCAATAAAAAAGAATCTCTTTCAAAAAAATAATTAAATAAACATCAAAATTGATTTGTTATGAATTTTGGATTTTGTAAAAAAAATATTCATTAGATAAAGACTTTGATACATTGTAATTTACTTTTTAATTTGAATGAAATATTAAAGAAATTACGAAATCCTCATATAAGTGTAACATAAACAGTAAAAATAAGTATTAATTATATTCTTAATAAGATACGAGTTTGTTTGACGAATTCAGCCATGATAACAATATAACGAATCATATAAAACTAGGATTTAAATATTTTCACACGGGTTTAAAAAAATACTTATTTTTCCCCTAAATAAAAATTTTTATCAGTACACTTATCATGGAAGACGATATCAAACTCTTAAAAAAGAGCCTGGGTGATGACCTTAAGATCAAATCTCCAAAGGATGGGCATCCTAAGGACCCAGAATTTCTAGTCCAAATAGACTTTCATGGGCTGACCGTTGAACAGGCAGAACCGGTCCTGCAACGTTTCAAAGATTCCGAAAAGCTACTTAAAAAAGCTGCATGTGTGAGATTCATTACCGGACATGCGAGAAGTCGAGAAACTGAATCGAAATTGAAGCCTCTGGTGTCGAAATTTTTAAACACCAACTATAGGAGAGCTGCCGGTAAAAAAGTAGATGAAAAAGCAAAGGGTCATATCGACTTAATGATAACGAGGAGTAATGGTCAGAAAAATAAGAACAGTACCCAGTCTACTACCAGCAGCGAATCAAGAAAGAATCAAGGAGCAGGAAAATCATCATCACGCTCCGGAAATCGAGCTGACCGGCATCACATTGAGTTATAGTGTTACGCGTCAGTCCATAGCACACAGTTCGCAGCAATTCACAGCATTCGTTTTTATATCGAAGCGAGCGATTCTTTGTTCAATCAAGTATTTGTGTTTTTTTTCAATTTTCACTATATATTTAAAAAAATGTTTATATATTATATAATTTATTAAGTAAGACATATCTTATTGGGTTTTTTATAAATTAGCGGCATTTAATTTTTAATTATCTACTATAAATTGTGATGATTTATAAATTAATCATAAAAAATTTTTAAATTGTGTTTCAATGCTAGCATTATTACAATATGAACATGCACTTACTGTATGAATTTGTAGATGACGAAGTTGTGTCATTGAATATGGAAGTGAAAGTTTAAAGTGCATACCCTTTCATTATTTGAGTCAAAATTAAATCTATTGGTATCTTAGCTGGTTGTTTGGCCAGGGTTATCATTTTGACTATCTGGCTGTCTGACCACGGGCGAATTGCTCAAATTCAAATTTTGGCTGGTCAAAGAAAAATGGCCAAATATATATCAAAGTAGCTAATTAAAAATTATGATTGCATATAAATAAATGCCAGATATCAGCCTTTTCTGATATTTTAATAAAACGGTATAGTTGAACTTACATTATATTTAAAATTCGAATTATACACCGGAGGATATCGTATTTTCCCCTATTTATTATTTTCATTCTAACGTCATCTTTATGTATCACAGTATCACACCTAACCTGGGTAACGTGTAAGAGATGGCCATAATTTATGATAACCAGTGGGTCCCAATTGCCCTTTGACTATTAATAGCCATTGACCGATTTGGTCAAATCGGCCAAAGTTCTTTGGTCATTTAAATTTTACCAACTTTATTTTTAGTAAAAGTTAGTTATCAACGGACCGGTGAAAATTCGGGTAACCAGGTGTTAGCAGTTATCAAAATATTTACGGAATACTTTGACCGACAAGACGACTGTACTACTAAATTACTATCGGACATTTAGACCCGATTTTTAATCATTTACATTAAAATTACCGTAAAGAAATTTTCATTTAAACAATTAACGACTTTTTAGGGTTCTTTGGGATCAGCAAACCATTAAAATGTACCGATCATCAGACGATCGTATCATGTACCACGTTTTATATGAACTTATTATTTTGATTGTTTCATTTTGTTTCGATGATTTTTATTTTCTTATAAATAATATTTTTATTTGTAATGATGTCCCTCAATTGGATAATATATTAAGTTTTTCACATTTTGACATTTTTTTTCTTGTTTTTTTTTCTTTGTGTTTTTTTTTGGTTTTTTTTTTTATTTCTAGTAAAAGGAAGAATAGAAAAAATTCCATATATACTATTATTATTAAATAAATAAATAAATAAATAAGAAATTTAAAAGAAAGGATTCATCTTATATGGATGTTTGAAATGAATGATAGGTTGAAATTTAGGTTCAATTGGTAATAATGGTAAGAAATGATTATATATATTAGTACCATTGGTTGGATTAGGATCAGCAGATCCTCTGATTCCAGAATCTCGTTCAAGGCGTAACTTTCTCCGATACCAAAAATTTTTAATTTTATTTTCTGAGTGTAATTTATCAAAACGCAATTCCATTACAAGAATTAAATCCTTCCAATGAATGGTACCATTCGGTCCTTGATATTGTTCAACCCATTGAACAATATAATCTTTTTCATCATTACTTAATCCATCTTTATTAACTAATCAAGAGAATCCTTAACGTTAATAAATTAATCTACGTTTAATAAAATTAAAGTAATAAATTGAAAACTTACGTCGAACGTTAAGAACATTTTTATAACTAAAGTTACAATAAATAATAATATAAGTAATACGTTAAAAATATATATAATAATATATATATATTACAACTTAGTGAACTTACTGATGTCGAATTTGACGAGAACTATACTGAGGAAGTACTTTGCTTATTCTTTCATATTTATTACGAACGTTACTTTTTTCCAGAAAACACATACAATCCAAAATAATTTGGTTACTCTGTGAATGAAAGAACAGTATTAATGAGAGATTCTTTTTATATGATAAATACTAAATTAATGGGTTAATAAAAAAAAAACATACCACTTTATCGAATAACATATTATTAATCGAACAAAATGTTGGGTAACGTCTAACCAAAAAGAAATAATTGATTTTTTTCTCTTAAAAGGGAAAAAAAAAGTTTTTTTTCCTCAAAAAAATAAAATCAATTTGATTTTGTTTTGTGTGCAAAACTTGTTCTTATATAAGAATTCGTTATTATTTTTGACATTCATCACGCGAGCATACGAAGCGTGGCTTTAAAATAATACATATAAATAAATAATCGGTAAAAAAGTTTGAGGATTTTATTATTTGAATGTTTCTGTAATCATCGATGCATGACATAATGAATAATAATATTTAGGAACACATGAAAAAAGAAAAAAAAAGTAAAAAAAAAAAGTGATTATTGTTTATGTATCAAGTGATCAAATTATATACATTGTCCAAAGAAAATTTAAAACAGTACGACCTAACAAACTTATTTCTTACAGATTAAAACCTAAATTAATTAAATATTCAATCCTATAAAATTAGAAAAAAAATTGGTATTTTTAATATACATGTTCGATTTAAAAAAGTAAATCTTTTTTTTTATACGCGAAGACATTGATTTTACTAGTTATGTCGATCCAATTCTTATCAATTAAAGACATTTCAAATAACTATGTACAACTGCTGCAGATCGGATCAAAAAGAAGAATCTTCCCCTTTTCATTATCACGGGTCTAATCCATTAAAATCCATTAAACATTCTAATTTTTTCTAATTGCTGTCACGCGTTAAAGCCACGCGACTTATATTAAGGTTTTCTTTGATTAAATTAATATTTTTGGAAGAGATCAAAAAATGATCCAGCGATTAGTCTATCATATGACACCTTTCAAACAATTTATTTGTCATGATTTTTTTATAAAGATCTAACTTTCCCATTGATAATTCGTTACCGAATCTTTGGATCAAAATCAGATGACAGATGATTCAAATATCCACATGATATGAACATAGTTCAAGTGCTAGTATCTTTTAACCTGCTAAAAAAATCCATATCAATGAGCATGTATTATGTTTGTTACACAAAGAAAGATCATATGTCACATATAGTTTCTGGATAACAAAAAATGTTTACCAATTACGGTTAAAATTTTTAATAATTATCTGTTATAACTACGCATTATTAAAAATTACATCCGTAATTAGATAAGAGACAACGAACATGATTATAATACTAATTTCACAATAAGAAATAAAAAGGATAGTAAGTAACAATTTGATGATCCTTATATACGCAGCAATATATGCTACCCGGATTCGATTAGGCGTTTTATATTAGTGGTACAATCTTCTAGATCGTCATACCAACGTCACTTTATTATAATTTATAAAAAGTCTGCCACTTTTTTTTCACCTAATTGTCTCTTTCTTTTTTTTTGAATTTACCGAAAAATTTTTTATTTAGTACTTTTAAAAAATGAAAGAAACGCCACGTTCTTCAACGACATCTGTAGATATATCTGTAAGAGGAATAGACGGTCAAGATGATAATATAAATTTTACTGTAAACTCAAAGGATAATGATGATACGTCGAATATTCGAGGAAAAAATAAAACCATGAAAATGATATTATTGACTCAGTGCTTTGCTGGGTGGGTTTCTATTTTTTTTAAAAAAAATTTCTTTGATTTTATTATTAATCTTTATAATTATTTCTAACCTTAACGATATATCAACTTAGTTTACAGCTTTCCTGTACGTAATTATTATCATTCTTTTTTTTTTCTTTCTTTCTTTTTTTTTTTTTAATATAAACTAACTCTGTTAAACGTGATCGTTATTTAAGGGTCAGTAGAACTAGCATATGGTATGTTAATAATTAATTGTATATAAAAAAAAGTTAATGTAATTAATTACTGATTGAGCTATTTTTAAATGGTTGTTTCATTAGGAACTCCATATTTACTTTCTTTAGGTTTATCAAAATCATTAGTATCTTTAGTATGGCTTGCTGGACCTTTATCAGGTAAATTATATTATTATTATTTTTTTTTTACTTATTTTATTTATTAAATCTAAATTATAATATAAATAGGTCTTGTAATGCAGCCTATAGTTGGATTACTTTCAGATAATTCAACGTCTAGATATGGTAGAAGGAGACCTTTTTTATTAGTTGGTGGTTTCGCTGTAGTAGGTTCTTTCATATGCATTGGTTGGACGCAAGAAATCGTTAATTTATTTTTTGAAAGCGGGTCTTCAACGGTAATTAATTTTAAATTTTTTGGATCAGTTAAAAAAAAAAAGTTATTCAAGTCGAAAAAAAAAAATCGGATTTATTTTTAATTAGGCAAATTCATTATCAAGATGGTTGGCAGTTACATCATTCTATGTTCTCGATTTTGCAATAAATTGTGGTAAGTTATAATTTTTATATTTTAATCGAATTTACTAGCAAATTTATTCTTTAAATTAATATAATTTAATTATTATTATGTAAGTTCAAGCAAGTTGTCGAGTTCTTATTGTTGATAATTTACCTCCATCTCTACAAGAAGAAGGTACAGCTTGGGCTAGTAGAATGATTGGAATTGGAAATGTCATTGGTTATTTTTTGTAGGTTTAAATAATTTAGTAATATAACATCAAGATCAACTTAATTATTTATTCTTATTAATCTAATTTTATTTAATTATATAGGGGATATGCTAATTTAGTCGAGATTTTTCCTTTTCTTGGTAGAACTCAAATGCAAGTTTTATGTTCTCTTGCATCTATACTTATATTATCTTCAGATATATTGACATGTTGGGCTGTTAATGAAAAGATATTTACTGGAAGTACAAATAAATCAAGAAATTTTTTTACCGCAATTTATGAAACATTTTCTTCCATTATTAAATCCTTTCGTAATCTTCCAAGTTATGTTCAATTATTATGTAACGTTCAATTTTTTGCTTGGATTGGATGGTTTCCATTTTTATTTTATTCAACGACCTGGGTAGCAGAAGTTCATGCTCGTTCTATTGGTGATTATTCATCCAAAAGTTCATCTTCATCTAATGATTCAGTTGGAGAAAAAACTCGTGATGGTTCATTTTCTTTATTATTATATTCAATTGTAAGTTTAATGGCATCATTTATATTACCAATGTTAATCAAATTCGCTGGAAGGATTACAACAAATTCAACAAAATTATTACAAACCCAATTTATACCATTTTTAACACTACCAAAATTATGGACAATATCACATTTCATATTTGCATTTTCGATGTTATCAACTTGGTTCGTAACTAATATTTTTCAAGCAAGTATTTTAATTAGTTTATGTGGAATTTCTTGGACTATAACTATGTGGGCACCATATTCACTTTTAGGAGAATTTGTTGCAAATGAAGAATCTAAAACGTTGGGAACTACTGAACGACGTAATAATGAAGAAACAGTAATTTATAATTTAGTTGAAGGGGGCGATAATGATAATGATTCGGAAGATAATGATAATGAAGTTGATACTGAAAATTTAAGAAGGACATCAAAAGATCTCAAGAATTCAAATGTTAATATTTCAACCAACTCAGAAGCTGGTGTATTATTTGGAATTATGAATACATATATCGTATTACCAGAATTTTTAGTAACATTTTTTAATAGTATAGTATTTGCTATATTAGAACCTGGTGGTTATGATGATAATGATACGGATATTGATACAAGACAACGTCATCAAACACATACTAATGAAAATTTAAACGCTGATGCTATTGGTTTTGTATTAAGATTTGGGGGTTTTATGACTATTGTTGCAGGAATCATTTCTATTAAATTATGGTACAAAAAAATAAAATAATTTCAAGATAATAATTTTTTATTTTTTATTATTATATAGAAAATAAAATGGGTCTTGTATATTTTAAACTTAGAGTCAATTAATATATTATATCAAAAACTTTTAATTAGTTAATAATAATATAAATTAGTATTCTTAATTAAATATATGTAAAAATTAAGGGGGGTAAAATACGAAAATGGTAAAATTTTACTATTCAAAGGATAGTTAAAATAAATCATACTTTAAAAGGTTACTGAAGATCTACTAAACGCATTTTTTTCGTGATAAAATTTCAAATTTTAGAAATATTATAAAGAAGTTTCAAATGCACGAAAATTTATTTAGTGTAACTTATTTTTTCCCATATTGGATCTGTTTCATTTCAGTTCTTTGTGCGTGATATGTTTCACGCCGGGTATCCCAAATATAAATTATGCTATCTTATTATTATTTTTTTCTATGATGATAAATAATTTCTACCTATAATTGCTATATAATTGTGAAAACCCTTTAGGATTTTTTAATATAATATTTAGGTTATATATAGTAATTGCATGTGATTGATGATTGGTTACAGTAAAAGACGGATTTAGCTAATCGGTCCGACTTAAAGCCAAAGTAAAACCAAAACTGCTAAAAAGTCAAACTAAGCTCCATCGGCTTGAAAGTACGAGTCGATTCAAAACCGTGAAGCCGATGATCGATGGATTAATGTTTTAATTCAAGCCAGTAATTTTATTTAAAATCAGGGTTTTTTGTAAATAAAGTGATCGATAATGCTGTTAAATTGTTAATAAATTTTATTAATATTATTTTTTTAATATAATTAACGATATTATTTGTACTCATTCTTTATTTTACCATCGGCACTATCTGGATATCCTAGTAAGTGACTTTATTTTATTTTATTTTATTTTATTTTTGATGATTAATAACAATCCATCACATATAAAGAATTAATTAAACTTCAAGATAATTGTTAGTCTCATCAACTTGCAACCAAACTGCAACTAAATAAATTCTCAAGCTGGACCGGATCGATCCACTGGCCCTGTCTGGATTGGATCGGTCCGAATTATGATAATTTAACGAGCCCTCTGGTTTTCACCTCAAATGATTATAGCGAAGAATTTAAAGAATTTAGCTAGCCGATTCGTTTTTCGGTATAGCGAGGAATATTTGACGTATTTGATTGGTCAAATGTCACATGTTGAGAAATTCGTTATAAAGGTTGTACCTGTTTACAACAAACGATAGTTCTTGACAAAGATTATATAAAAATTAACAAAACATTTCCTAATATATGTGACTATTAAAAATTCCTCTCCACTTAATCATATAACATTATAATCACACCATATACCGTAAAGAAATTTTATTAATTATTTTATTCATTGAATTATGATTGTAATTGATTTTTTCTCTTCTCGCTGTTTTGCCTGCTATAGTGGAAAATAATTTTTACTTGTATTTATTCATTAAAATTCAGAGTTCCGGGTTACAGGTAAGATATCTTCACTATCATTATAAGGAAGTTATTGAATCGACCAGTGGAATCATCTTTATAAGTTGTTTTTGAATCTCTTCATTAACTAGTGCTTAAGCCCGTACGTTCTTAATTACTTGAAGTGATCAAAAAGCGATATAGTAACTAACGACACTTTGAGACCCTTTTCTTTTTCATTACTTCCCTTCTTCAATAAATTCAGATTTTTCTGTAATGATGTTATTCGATATTGCAAAATTTGGATAAAGACAGGGACTGAAAAAAAAAATAATTAACACAGAGTTTAGTTTGTGATTATGGATGAATGAACTATAATAGCAAAAGTTTCAAAGGTAACTAAAATTGGCCATATAAATAGTCATATAAATAATAAATCTCGGTCTTTGTTCACATTTTTAGAAAAAAATCATGTTTAGAACATCAGACACAAATTATTGATAATCACTCGTTTTACTTGTTTCTACCATAAATGAAATTTAAAATAGAAACTATCCATTGATATCCACGAATCATATTCAACTACCTTGATACTGAAAAGGATTTAAATACGGTAAAAAATTTGTAGACTGGTCATCGATTAATCATTAGAGCTCTATAAAAAAACAGGACGAATTTATTTATTAGGATATTCCTGTTTTGCGCAAGTAAAAAATAACAAAACCTACTTACCATCGCGATAAACGTTAAATAAGAATAATTATTTACATAATATGGTAGTGTGTCATAATTCAAAAGACTCGGTGTCCCGATATTTGTTCTCTTCATTAACCAGTGAGCATTTACTTATAAATGAAATGTAATATGTATTAGCCTTAATGATTACATCCCCTGAAAAAAAATTGAACAAATATATGCAGACCTTGGCGAAAGTGATGGAAAGTAATGACGGTCAGTTTCTTTAAGATCATGCACGAATTTTATAATAACGTATGAAATTATTTTATTCTCTGAAAGATGAGCAAAGAATGATAAATGTTTTGATATTATATCTCTCAACTGGTCTTAATGAAGTTTTTTAATCTTTCTCCTTTTGATTTTCTTCATCATCTTGATTTTCTATTTTTGCAGGTTTGCGAGATAATCAATATCATCACAACTTTAATTCTGAAATTTGTTTTGCAGAAAAAGATTTTATCTTCGCCGATTTCATTAAAAATTCGTAAACTTACTTTCTGAGCTATAGTCTTAACCTCTTCATTAACTAGTGCTTGAGCCATACGTTCTTTATTGCCTAATTCTTTGAAGTGATCAAGGTGATTCTTAGTGTTTTTCTAAAAGAGTAATAACAACGAATGACTCTTTATTTCTTCCTTTTCAGTGTATATACTAAATAATATCTTGATATTAATTGTATATTCTAGCATCAATTTCTAAAATAGTTTAAACAAACGGAAAGCGGAATCAAACGTCAACTCATCATTAAAGCCAGCCGACTTTGTCAGTTCATTGACAAGTTTATCTAATGTTCTCTGTGAACGAGAATGTGAACGTTTTTTCAATCTTTCATTGATAAAATGATAAATATGAAAGACTAGAATTGCAAAAATGGCTAATAAAAAAAATGTGTATAATTATATATAAATATTTACGTGTCTTAAAGGTCATTTTTATATTTATAGTGAAGTCATTAACACCAAAAGGTACAGTATTTACCGTCATCAAAGTTTCTTTAAATTAATTTCGCAAATATTTGTATAGGAAAGTAGCCGAAGTAGGTAGCTAAGTAAAGGAACCAAGGTAACTGTAACACAAAACAGATCTTAATAAAGCGTGTTTCCTGAAAATTTCAAAGAAATTGTTGTAATATGAATAAAGTATCGTAGGTAGTATATAACAAATTGCAAAGTGGGTGACAATTACGGTATTCCATAGTAATCGATTGAAAGACTAATCTAATCTGTATGATGAGTGCGCTTACGTACCGTTTCCCGACATCCATCTTCCTCCCGAAAAGCATTTTTTTTCGAAAATTGGTTTACGAAAAATAATTGATACTGCTGAAAAAAAAAATAAAAATAAAAATAAAATACTTGATTTTTTTTTTATATAATAATAAATAAATCAATGGAAAATTTTAATTTATATTTATATTTTATTATAATAAAATTTTGCATTGTATTTATTTGTTTAAAACAATACCTAATATTTAAAATATTTTCTAATGCTTTTTTTTATATATAGCATAATTCAAACACTCAAACTAAACAGGCGAAGGGAAACATGTTTACTATAAAAGATTATTTTGCTCAATTTATTTCGTATGCCTATTTGTAAAGCATTATTCGTATAGTTATTGCAAAACAATATTTATTATCAATAAAACTAATTTAAAAATTTGCGATTTATAATATATTATAATCAATACTATATATACCCAACCCAAAGTTACATTTTTCATAATTTGATTTGGGAAAATGTCGTGTCGGGATAATGTCTTTCAGGATACATTTCGTCAGGATATTATCATCTTGAAAAAAAGTGCTTTCAGGAAAATGTTTATTTGAGAATATGTCCTGTTGGGAAATCATTGTCGGGAAAAGGTTACTTTGGGAAAATGGATGCCCTGCAAAAATAGTCGATCCGTTTTTTATATTCCATCTTTTTTCCGTAAAAGGCTCATATTTCCGGAATTAATAACCTTATATCACGGAATTTATCGAATTATTTACATTTTTCATGAATGGATCCGTGAAAGGCTCATTTTTACGGAGTTTTTACAGAAATAACGGATAAAATTTTTATAGGGATGTTGGGAAATCATGCCGTAACCTAATACATGTAAATTACGTGGTAATTTTTGGATATGTAACAAAGTTTGAAAATTTATCGCGGTATAAAAAATATTCATGAATTCTTTTTTGAATTCTTTTAATTCCAAGTAATATAATTTTATTTACATATTGGTCAGAACATTTAATCTAAACGTAGATGAAATTGGGTTCGATGAATAGTACACTGATCAACAGGACAAACTTAGTATTTTATTTTATCACAAGCATAATTTCACTAATACAATAGCAATTTTTATAGTTCATTTTAAAGCAAAGAATATTTCATATCGATGGCCGAGGCGCAAAAATTTGGATTGTCAATTAGGGAGCTTACAGATATTACGTAATTATTAAGGGGGACCAAAATCTTACGTTACACTTAATAAAATCATATAATTTATAAATATTATAATTTGATAAATCTGACAAGGAAGGGAGAGCCGGAGAGGAGTAAGTTTATATTAAATTGAATATTACGTAATATACGTAACTCCCCTTACATAAGATTATCGGTAATCAGACTCTAAACACGCTCTTATTAATATCTTCATTAAAACCTTTAGGAGTATATCACACATTCTCTTATTGCAAGCTGATGATTATTCCAACTTACAAATAAAAAAGTTCTCCGGAAATACACTTGAATCTAAGGAAGGAGGATACTAGGAAAAGATTCTAGGAAATAAAAGATTCTTGAGAAAGAAAAAATATCTAAAGAATTTAATTTGAACTTTCAAGAATACTATGCTGAGGTACAAAAGCTTTTTATATTATTACTTGCAATATTATCTTTGCTAATAATTTCACATTAGATTGTTCTTGATGAAGAAGATGGCGGGCTGGAAGTTATTAATAAAGTCTTATCCCAAAAACTTTTGATAAAACCGAAGAGAATGAACTTTTCGTAAGCAATTATTATTTCAACAATCGTAAATGTGATATCTATTAAACCTGATTTTTCATAGAATAACCCGTGACATTTATTATTTTTTTTTAACTATTTTGCAGAGCTAGTAATCTTTCAATGTGTACGTTAAAAGAAAAAGTAAGCGAAGGAACATTAGTAGCCAATTTTATTAGTCCTATATTACGAATCTTTCTACATAACGCTTCTGTTCATCCCGAATACCGCTAGCACCAGTGCAAAGATTCGTAAGCTTGCCAACAATGATCCTTCCCGCGCAAAACAGCTGACATTATTGGAAAAGTTGTCCATAATGATATTTATAGAAAAATTTCATGAAAACATAAATAAAACCAAAGAGTTTTTTTCTTTTTAACATAAATTATGAGCTTGTGTTCGGAGAAGAGAAGTGATGGGCGAGGGCAAAAATAACACGAAAAAGAAAAATATCATCGACCTAATTAAATTAGGTATTTTTATGAAAGATTCTATTGACTTGATTCTGCAGAAAACAAATGTCAATAGTGTTTTATTCAGATGGCAATGTATTGGTAAGCAAGAAAATTCAAAATTATTTTATTTAATTGTAACAATTTATGTAATTAATAGTATTGAAATGGACTGTATATTTCATGGTTTTAATCGCACCTGGTATTTATGTAATGATAGAAGCTGGCAATATAAATCTGCCAAAGTCGTTTGAAGCCTGCTGTAGCATGTTTTTAATGGCTTAGATACTTTGGGAACATTTCAGGTATAGCTACTAAAACATGTTTGACACATCTGTTCAATTCTATATACATTGACTAATTAACCGACTCTTTAGGTAACATATGAACGAACAGTAAAGAAGTTCTTTCGGTAATAAATAAGGCCGAAGAAGATTCAAGGATGATAAACTCAAACAATGCTCCAGCGTTTAAAGAAATTGTCCGTTTTTAAATGATTCAATGAACATAGATTTTTAAGGTCTATTATTGTTTTTTATTTGCTATATAATTTTACTCTCGCCACAATTATAATGTGTGATTTAAAATGAGCGAACCTGAAATTTGTCACATTTAACATAATATTATAATTTCGTTATGTTTTTTACTATGATATACAATAAATCTGATGAAGGAATAAAAATTTTAAAAATGCATGAATTTTTTTCACGGGTCACATGATTTTATTTTCACAGAGTTATTACTTTAAACATAATACAAATAAAATTTGTCTACATTTCTAAAATAAAATAAAAATAAAATAATACAAATAAAATAAATTCATCGTTAGAGTGGATCTTATTATACAGTATGTACTACATTAAATGCTTTTAGAGAATCCTGGCCGGATATAGATCTGTGTAGGATATTTTGGTCGGAAGAATTCGTGAATTGCTTTTATGCATGCCCAGAATACCACGAACCTATTTACACAAGTCCGCAACAAAAAAATATTACTATTCTTACAGATAGTAGACGCATGATTCATAGTGTTCTTCTTGAATGTTCAGCTACCAAAGCCGAAGAAAGAAAGGTTGCTCAAGTAACCGCTAAGATCAAACCTTCACAGGATAATAAACCCTTGAACCATGACATAATGCGAAAAAAACAGAAGTCACTTTCGGACCATCTACTTCAAAAACAAGCTTGCTGACAGCGATATGGTTGACGCACCTATTATAGACAGGTACCCGATCTGATCAGGTCAGATTTGATTATTTATAGGAAATATAAAAATAACAATAGTAACTAAGAAATTTGTATCATTTAGAGTAGATTTCTATTGTAATCAAAATAAATATTTTGAAATTTTAATATTATGTTTATTATATATATTAGTTGGTATACTGATATATCAAATAGTAAATGACCTGATTGTACTTTATTTGAATAACCTGATTAGAAATTATTTGAATGTCCTGAATGAATATTCTGATCGGAACACAAGTGTCGCAACAATCGGGTTCCCCAATTGATGAAAATAAGGACCAATCAGGGTCAGATTTCAAACTGCTGATACGATATCTAATATATGATGTAGCATAATACGCCTGATTTGGTTTTATGTTTTAACTTTAATATAGGATCTTATATGTAGTAATATAGAAATTTATATAATATTTAATAATCATCATGTAACATTATTTATTTTGTAACAATGTAGCATTAATAATTTTAACTTAAATTTGTCGTTGAATCAACATAAATTGGTGCTTCTAAAGACTCATCAAATAAAATCTCTGCTGGATGAATATCATGTTCACCACTTCAATATATATATGGGTTTACCACAAATTCCCGACAACCATAATATCGACAGTCTACAATTCCGACACCAAAAATCCCGATAAACCCAAATCCCGGTTGAAGCAAAATACAGTTAAAATTCTTGACGGTCAAAATCCAAGTTTTTTTTTTTAAAAAAAAAAATATATAAATTTTATAAATTTTTAATTATAAATTATAGTACTTGTAGCGATTAATATTACAATTATTAACCAATGCTAGCAGATGATTGGTAAGGATTTGGCCACGTAGTGGCCAAATCTGTCCAATCAGAATGCAGCATTGGTTAATAATTGTATATTTATCAACGCAAGCACAATAATGATATTATCGTGTAACATTATGATGTTTTATTTAAACTTTTATTAAACTCGAATTAAACTCATAAATTAAGCTTTTATCATTTTTTTTCTTTATCCAATTTCATTTCTCTCCATTTCTGACTCTATTTTTTACACAAAACCTTTCTATTAATATTTTAAAGATGCAAGATAACAAAGATAAACGACCTTGTAAGAAATTAAAGGTGAACTTTACTTATAAAAAGCCTACTGATGATGAACTTCGCAATCTTATTGATAGTAGCCGATGTAAAAATACTGATTATTCAACTTCAAATTGGATACGAGCTTTGGAAAAATTTAGAACAGATGTTAATTATCAAGGATTAATTGAGAAAGTTGATACAAAAGAAGAATTAGAGGATCAGCTTTGTAGATTTGTTAATGCAATGAGAAAAAAAGATGGTTCTGAATATCATGTTTCTTCAGTTAATAGTTGCATGTTTGAAATAAATAAACATTTGAATAATAAGTCTGTCATTTCAAAACCTATCAACATTATGGATAAAGATCAATATTACAAATTATGGCAGATTTTGAATGGTAAAGTTAAGAGTCTTGTGAGTCAAGGTCGTGGGGAGCGTAACGGTGCTGATGGATTTACTGAAGATGATCTTCTTCAGATTCTTGATCATCCAGCAATGTCTGGCAATGATCCTGCCAGTTTATTATATAGGATCTTTTTTTTTAATGCTATTTTTTTAGGATTAAGGGGAGGAGAACATTTCAATTTGCAGCTTCAAAATTTTATACGAAGAAAAGACAAATATGGTGGATTTGATGTTATCATTTACAAATCAAAAACTAATCAACACGGTGCCAATAATATTGAATCTCAAGGTGATAAGTTATACATTCCCGAAATACCTAGTATCATTGAAATGTATGAAAATTATTTTACCAAACGTCCAACCCAAGCTGATCCACATTTTTATTTAAAGCCATGCAATATTAGTGAAGGTAAATATTAAAATTTTTTTTTTTTTTTTGACAAATCTAATGTCAAAATTTTTATTATTTTTTATTTCATATTATACAGTTGAATTTAATGGACAATGGTATCATAAGCAACATGTGTCTGAAAAAGAAATTAAATCCTTTATGAAAAAAATTGTTACCTTAACCGGAATTAACGTGGATGATTGCAAAATTAGTAACCATTCAGGTCGGAAAACGCTAGTACAAATATTAAAGCGACGAGGATTTTCAAATTCTGAATGTATGGGCAAGTACACGACATAAGTCTGAGCAAGGGCTTGCTAGATATGAGCGTCCAGAAACTGAAATTCAACGAAATAATGCTTTTAACCTTGTTGAAGCATTTGGTTTTAATAAAAATAATATTCGATCAGGTAAAAATTTGAAATTTTTAATCATTAATAAATGACCTGCATTCTAATTTTCTTCTATAGAAGAATCAATGGAACAATCAACTTTATCAACAGACAATTTCGTTGTTGCAAAATCATTGCTTAATGGTAATATTCTAAAATTTTATTCTATTTTTTGATAATCAATTTAACAAAATTGAACTTTTTCTAGATAATCGTGAAGTTATTAATTCGGCAAACAGTAATATTAAAGTTACAAGAAGGCCATTAAAAGATTTAAATGAAATTCAAGAAAATAAAAGTCAAAATTTGGAAGAATTAGTTTCGAAATTAACAGCTGATAAAGTTTTTATCAATTCTGTTATTATTTTCAATAATAATCCTAATAGCCATAATTAATAATTATAACACATGTATTGTTTATAGCTTAAATATAGTTTATTGTAATTATTAAACTTACGCATAAAAAATAATTAAATTACAAATCATCAACATCATACAGCGGAGCACGATAATTAAACAAATAATTTTAAAAATACAGCGGCGCAGTATTGGGTCTTAATTTATCCAATATAATTAAAAATATATTTTGAATTATTTGATTAGTATTAACGAAAATATTTGTAAATTTTATCAATACCAATGCAAATCGTTTGCATATTAATGCAAATTAACTAACGTTACTATATTATTAATGAAATTAAAAGGAAAATTTTTTATTTTAACTAAAAAAACTATGTACAGTATATTACTAAATTACTAATCTTTCGAAATTAGAAACAATTGCATTAAAAATTAACTAATCTCAAGCTCATTCCAGTCAGGATTTTGGCTCATCAGGAAATTTTTAAAGGATATTCATCGATAATTATCACTTTATCGATAATTATCCCATTTTATCATACCAAATAAATTAATAACTAACGTATTATGATGATTATCGATAAATAACTGGAAAAATATAATGATATTTAACATTAATAATATTTATTGATAATATATTTAATGGTATTAAGTGTTAAAAATTTTATCGATGAATTTTTATAAGATATTTAACATTAATGATATTTATTGATAATAATCTGAAAAACAAATAATGATATTAAGTGTTAAAAGATTTTATCAATAAATTTCTGTAAGTTTTTTAACATTATTGATATTTATTAATAATTATCTGAAAGATAAATAATGATATTAAATGCATGTTAATTTTATTGATAAATTTCTGTAGTGATAATTTTCGTTTATGTTACTTATTACCATAAGGAAATATTAAAAATAAGTTACGAGAATTCTTTATTTCACAATCACGTGTATCATATCATGTGACACGTCTTTGATTATACTAAGACGCGACGCGATAAGATTTTTTTAAACTTTTTTTTTTTAAAGTTTAATTAAACACTTCTTTTGCCTTTCCCATTTCTCTCACCTGTTTCTCTTTCGCACTTTCCCTTGCACCCACTTTATCCTTTTCTTTTTTTTTGTTTTCCTTTGTTTCATTCCATTTTTTTCATTTTTGGCTCTCTTCTGTTTTTCCCTTTCCCTTTTTTCGTTCCGTTTAGTTCCCTCTCCCTCTTCCTCTCTTTCATTCCTTTCTTTTAACCTTCCCTTTAATTTAAACACTTTTCTTAAAAAATTATAAAATTTTTTTGAAGTTACATTTTCGTTTCAGCGGTTCCCTTGTAGGAATGTAAGTAAAATTTTATTTTAAACTTATTTTTTTTCGCATTTAGTACTTAATCTTCCTTTTTTTTTTATAGATTTTGTCTTCATTTCGGCCTTCAGACATTTGGGAATTCGCGTTTCTGTTTAGAAGGCCAAAAAATGTGTTGAAATTCGGCATTTTTTTCATTGACGAAACATTTATTAATGTTTGGAGTTTTTCTTTTTTTTTAAAAACGATTTTCTGGATTTATTTGGACGCGTGAGTCTCTTTGGCTTTTTGACTCAGGATTTTGGTAAAACACTAATTTTTTATTAATTTTTTTTATTTTTAACGAACTTTACTAAAAGTTCATTTCTTTTTCTTTTTTAGGCGGTTCTTCGGCTCTTCAACAAGGGATTTTGGTAAGACAATAAGATGATATTTTTTCTTTCTTTATTTCTTTAACGAAAGTTAACATTCATTTTTTCTTCTTTTTTTAGGCGTTTCTTTCGGTCTTGAAAGGGAGATTAGTGTGTAATTTTCTTTTGACTTGGGATTTTGGTAGGCTAATTATTTTTACTTTAAGTTATTCTTTAACGAAGTTTACTAACTGACCGTTCATTACTTTTATTTTATAGATGGCCGTTCTTTGAAAGGCGAGTATCTTTTTTTTATTTATTTTTTTTTATAAGAAATGTTATTCATTTCTTTTTTTTTTTTGTAGGTTCGTTTCAGTTTGAAAACTGAGAAACGGTCCAAATGGTTAGTTTCACAAAGTTATATTTCATTTATCAGCTTTAATTTCTTTCTTTGAGAAACATTATACTAACGTTTCTTCTTTTGTTCTTTGTAGGTATTCTCTGGATTCCTTCTGACCAGTTACGTGATTAGATTCTGAAGTTTCATTTCAAACTTCAGTTTGTTTTTTTTTTAATATTTTTAAAGAAACGTTACGTTTCTTTATTTATTTTTGTAGGTTTCCTTCAGCTTTCGATTTTGGGTTGGAATGCCAGGTAAGCTTCGAAGAAGCTATCTTTTTAGTTTTTCTGAAAACGTCTTATTAATGTTTCTTTATTCTTTTTGTAGGTCCCTCCTTCTGGCTTTAATCTCGGATTTCTATTACAGGTAGTTTCAAAATATGGTTGGTGAAGTTTTGTAACAATTTTCGGTATGAAACTTTTAAAATATTTTTTTGCTTTTTAAGAGGAACGTTTCTAACGTTCTTTATTATTTTTTTTTAGGTTCTGTCCAGTGTTGAGCTTTGGATGCAGAAACGGTAAATTTCACAACGTTTTGTTGTGAAACAATTTTTTTTATTTTATTTTATTAATAGAAACGTTTTCTAACGTTTCTTCTTCTTTTCTTGTAGGATTCTTGAGAATTTGCTGGATCGGGTACCAGTAACAGGGAAACTTTGATTTTTTTTAATATTAATATTTTAATAGAAACGTAAACTTCACTTGTAGGTTAGATTTGATTAGATTAGTATATATTTAGTATAGATTTAAAAATGTATCATTTGTTATTGAATAACGCAATAAATAAAATAATCTAATTTAACAATCTAAAATTATTTAATCATGAATAAATACAATGATATTTAACTATAAATAATATAACGCTATTTAGCTGTAGTGATAATTATCGATTTTTAACTGTATTGATGATTATTGTCAATTTAATCTGATTTATCCATATCGATGCTACTCGACGAGTGCGATTATTATCGATATGTGTCACGTGATCTTTTATCGATATATATTCCCCAAAAAAATTTCCTGATGGCTGTCAAATTTTAGATCATCGGGATTCTGTGACTGTCAGGATTTTAATTCAATCGGGATTTGCAGGGTTATAAACTGTCGATATTATGGTTGTCAGGATTTTTGGGAGATCCCATATATATATATGTTGTACGTCAGGTGTCGATTTGCTGACGCGCGTCAGATGCCAATTTTGAATAGTTTCTTATAAGTAAACATTTTTATTTATTAATTAAATTGTCTTTTATTTTATAAGTAAATCTGTGCATCATAATAAATACCATTAATGCTGAATTATATATCACAGATAATGTTACGATATTCAAAATTTTAGTATAATTAAACATAATTTTTCAGTCTTAATGTGCTTTTATTTCCTAAGTAAATTAGTTCATCACATTTTTAAATAGATAATGCTAAAATTTCAACACGTTCGGATTCATATTGGCGGAAATTTCCTTCTTTAAAATATGCAGTTGTAATCTGACGCAAATCGACATCTGACGCACAACCTACTTCAAAATCATATAGTCTTTCGTCAGAATTACCACTGATTTACCTACTATATAATTTTACTATCTATTTTGTATTACCATATCAATCTAATCTTCAATTGTTTTGGTTCATCACTCAGAATTAACATTATTATTAGTAATATTTTCATTATCACTTTTACTACTTTTACTGTACAATTAATTTTCTACATTTTATAACAAAAATAATTCATTTTTTTTTTACAATATAAACGGAATTTATATAAAAACGTATATCAGACGCATAAAAACGTATCAATTCCATATAAAGAATTTAAAAATGATATAGAGTCGGATATGGAAGAATGTGAGACGTAGTGATTTTCAATGCTTTTATGCTGTATTTTAATAATGGGTTATCTGCCCTATAAAAAAAAGTTGTCCAAACACTGTTCGGTTTTTTGTTTGGAAAATTGACCCCGTTCCGAAATTTACTTGACATTTATTGGACATTTATCATGATATTGTACGTTTTTTATGTGGTTGAAAATTCTCGATCTCTGCATCTTGTATTAAAGTGTGACAAATATTATATAATAACGTGCTAGTGTTCGGAAATTGACCCCATTCCGAATATTTATCAGACAAACATTTTTTATAGGGCTATTATACCATTTTAAATATATTTGCGTTCTTTTTCATTTATTGAATTTGGATAAATTGATATTAAAACAAGTAAATGTAATACGATCACGGACTGTGAGTTACTCCATAATAAAAAATTACCGTAAACGGTTGACTAAGATATCCGAGTATAATACATACAAATTCCAGGGGGTTAACCTTGTATTACCATGTATATTACTCGATTTTTTTTATAAATAAAATACATTTAAAACTTGTATAATAATCAGAAAAATATTTACGTGTAATACCTAGGCAAAATTATAATATTTAAATAAGGAGAAATGAGCCTTTTTTTTTTTGTTAAAAAGGAGGATACGATATATAATAATAATAAGACTTTGGGACTTTGGGAGAATAACAAAAGAAGAAAGGGCTTCCGTCTTTTCTTGACAATCATGCGAAATACTATAAGTAATATAATTACATCATGATTGCAAATCTGAGTATGAAAAATATTATTTCATGCGAAATAATTGATATAATTACATCATCATTTGCATGACTTTCTATTTATGCAAATCAGATCGGAGTATGAAAATATTATTTTAGAGATCTTTTTTTTTTTCAGGATATTATCATTTTAACGTTCAAGATCGATAAGCAATAAATAATAACTTTATAATCCTGAAAACATTTATTCACGAAAATGTAAGTAAAAAAAAAAGATTAATGTATTATAAACAACGAGATAAATTTAATAAAAATCATCTAGATAATTCAAAAGGAATAAAATTATTTACTTTTAGTAGTATTACTTTGTTTTTTATAACTTTAACTTTGAAATGCTAAATAAATTAAATAAACTTTTCTAAAAATTTTTGAATAAATTCATTTAATGCACTCCTTTCTAAATCAAATTGTTCAATAATTTCGTTTTTGAATGATATTTTTTGAATCAAAATTATTATATTTTATTATCAATGAAACTAATTAAAATTTAAAATTTGTGATTTATAATGTATTAGAGTCAATACTATATACCCAACCCAAAGTTACATTTTTCACAATTTGATTTGGGAAAAATGTGGGATACATTTCGCAAAAATTAATATTTATCATAATAAAAAATTGCGGTGTAAAAAATATTCATGAATTCTTTTTTGAATTCTTTTAATTCTTTCAAGTAATATAATCTTTTATTTACATATTGATTATAAAGAAGAATAATTTTATTGGCGGTCGCTTTATCATTAATTATTGAATTTTAATAAAGTTATCTTTTGATTTTTACTATGAACTGAACATTTAATAATAACAATTCTATGAAATAGCAACATTTTGGGACTTACAAAGATACTTATAAAAATAATTTAACTAATAGAGATAATATAAAGTAAGTATAATGAATAAGAATATATAGAAATAATAGAAACTAGAGAAATAATTTGATTTACGTCTTCAATATACTGTAATACCGATGAGATAATAGCTTAATAACATAATAACAATTAAGATCATGTACAGTTATATTGATCAAAATAAAACTTTCCAGAATTTCCATGTATACGAAAACAGGTATTGCCATTGAAAGAACCTCGGACTTTCTGTTTCCTAAGAGTAAAATGAACTTTCGCAACTACATAGTACTCTTGATCTGGAAAATCAATTTCTTTATAGTCACCACTAGTTCCATCACAAGCATGGTAATCTCCTTTTCCGTCACCAGCTATGCGTTTATGATTTGAATCTTCAATCCAAATTCTACAAGCACCAGCATTCATATCTAAGTATACGCCGACACTATATGCTATATATCAAACCAAAATGTCGAATTATTAGAAAAAGAAAATGGAGAAAATACCGATTGTAAGAACTTTACCTTCAATGACCGGAGCAAATGTCATGTAGAAAAACATGAAAATAGCGGTAAGAAGGTAAAAACTTCGAGGTCTCATATTGGTGTTAGATTTATAATATTACGTTTTGTTATTTTATTACGACAATTCCGTAAAAAACAAAATTTTTGGTGGGCATAGTAAGGCTATATATCTATATTTTTTTATTTGTTATCAACCACGCATAACCGTAAAGGGAAGTTAATCAGAAGCATTTGTTAAATGCCAAGCTTTTTTCCCATAATTTGTTTGGTTCTAAACCTTCTCTTAGTAGATTTTCAAATAATAACTTTTCATTCATTCAAAAAACCTATAATTGACAAAAAATTTCGCACATCTCGGGATTTTTTTTTGTGACATTGTAAATCAAAACCTCACAGCAAAATTCGAAATATAGTGGACACTTGAAAATTTTTATTGTTAGGATTGTCGGGTACTCGGGTTACTCCTAGTCGGGTTATTAAAAAAGATATATAACACATATATATGATGGCGTAGTATAAAGAATAATAAAGTAATTGTATATACTATATAATGTAATTATGTTAATTAAAATTTTCTAATAACCCGACTAGCGATGAATCACGTTGCCACCGCAGTCTTAACAAAAGATACTTTATTAATAATGAACTAAATATAGTAATGAATATAACCTTTTATAATAAACGATTTTCATCACAATAAAATCTGTCCATAAAAATATTTCAGTTCTCCCTTTTTGAGTTCCGATTTCTGACATAGTCAACCTTCATGTTTTCCGTCAAGAATAATATTTCCAACTTTGCAAAAAATATAAACTTTACAAAATTCCCAAAAATTGATCTTCAAAATCCTTTCCTAATATATTTTAAAAGTTCTCGATCCTAAAATCTAAATATAGATCCTTAACCTTCATAGTTCATAGTTTTACATCATCGCGGATGCAACATTTGTAACACAATTTTAATTATTTAAATATAATGCTGCGCCTAATAATTATTAAATTTACTAGTTAAGTCACGGCATTAGTCATCGGTTTCCCGACATCCATTTTCCCGACGTAACCTTTTCCTGATAACGATTTCCCAAAATCCCGAATGGACATTTTCCCGAATAGTATATTTTCCCGACATGACATTATTCCGACATGACATTATTCCGACATGACATTTTCCCGAAATCAAATTGCGAAAAATGATTCAACTGCAAAAAAAATAAAATAAAAATGAATTTTTTGATATACTAATAAATAGAAAAATTAAATTTTATGTTTATTATATTTATTTAATTTACTTTTTGCATAATATTTTCAATGAATTTATTATTTTACAAATGGATTTTATAAAAAATCGCCATAGCAAGTGTCACGTGACTTTACATATGTGAATAATTTGTCACCCCGCGTCACATCCTCTAGTTTTCCATTTTTATTATTTATTCTGGGGACTTAGAATTTTTTCAGTGCAAAAAATACTCCCTATACATCACGTGCTTAATTTCGGCCAAATTTTATAACGCTGGCCAAAATATCCTTTTTTGAAGCTTTAGGTAACGTTACACAATCCAAAAAAGGCCATTTTATTTTTCAGCAAAATTCAAGTTTTGTTACACAAAACTTCCAAAATAGGAAATTTCTTTGACGATCTTTTAATTCCGGCCGGAATTATAAAATCACGTGACACTGGCGATGCATCGCCATGGCGATAAAAAACAAAACCCTTTACAAATTATTACATTTATCACGTAATTTATCTTAATTGAGACAATTGTTTTTTAAAAAACACAATTACGATTTCACATATTAAACATATTATACTAAAATTACGTAATTTATTTTTATTTTTATTAATTTATACCTTTAATAAAATTAAATTTATTATTCTTTGTTTGTTGTAAATAACATTAAAATACCTCAATGCTTTCTTACCCAAATTAAACAAATTAAACAGGCGAAAGGAACCATATTTACTATATTTAATAAAGTATTATAAGTAAAAACTTACAAATTGAAAAAAATTAAAGAGAAATAGTATGCGCAATCCCTCTTAAATAATCTAGAAAGGAATAATCTAATCATCACAACTATTGAAAATGGTTAAAAGACGATTTTCACGGTCAACAATGTAAATAAATTATTGTTAAATACTATATACCAAACCAAAGTTATTACATTTTCATAAATTGAATTCGGGAAAATGTCATGTCGGGATTTTGTCTTGCAGGATATTTATCGTCGGGATGATGTCATGTCGGGAAAATATGCTATTCGGAAAAATGTCCATTCGGGATTTTGTCCTGTCGGGAAATCGTTGTCGGGAAAAGGTTACGTCGGGAAAATGGATGTCGGGAATCGGTCCGACAACTTACCGGCCGAGTCTGACGATAAAAATTTTCAAGTGTCCACTATATTTCGAATTTTGCTGTAACATTTTATCATCGCGCAATGAAAATAAAGAAATAAATTATTTTAGATAACTTTTTTTTTCCAGGATATTATCACTTTAACATTCAGGTAACTGATATTAATTGCTAAGCAATAAATAAATAATTTTATAATCCTGAAAACATTTATTCACGAAAAAGTAAGTAAAAAAAAAAAGATTAATGTAACAACAAGATAAATTTAATAAAAATCATCTAGATAATTCAAATAAGGAATAAAATTATTTACTTTTAGTAGTATTACTTTGTTTTTTATAACTTTATACTTTGGAATGCTAAATAAATTTAAATGAACTTTTTTCTAAAAAATTTTGAATAAATTCATTTAATGCACTCCTTTCTAATTCAAATTGTTCAATAATTTCGTTTAAAAAAAAATTTTTAAAAAAAAATAATAAAATTTAATAAAAAAAAAACTAATTAAAATTTAAAAATTTGCGATTTACAGTATATACCCAACCCAAAGTTATATTTTTCATAATTTGATTTGTGAAAATATGGGATACATTTCGCTAAAATTAATATTATCATAATAAAAAAATTGCGGTGTAAAAAATATTCATGAATTCTTTTTTGAATTCTTTTAATTCTTCCAAGTACTAATATAATCTTTTATTTACATATTGATTATAAAGAAAGAATAATTTTATTGGCGGTCGCTTTATCATTAATTAATAAGCATGCTTTTGAATTTTAATAAAGTTATCTTTTGATTTCTATTATGAACAATAATAACAATTCTATGAAATATCAATATTTTGGGACTTACAAAGATACTTATAAAAATAATTTAACTAATAGAGATAATATAAAGAAAGTATTAATAAATAAGAATATATAGAAATAATAGAAACAGAGAAATAATTTAATTGATTTACGTCTTCAATATACTGTAATACCGATGGGATAATAACATAATAACAATTAAGTCATGTACAGTTATATTGATCAAAATAAAACTTTGCAGAATTTCCATGTATACGAAAACAGGTATTGCCATTGAAAGAACCTCGGGCTTTCTGTTTCCTAGCAGTAAAATCAACTTTCGCAACTACATAGTACTCTTGATCTGGAAAATCAATGTCTTTAGAGTCACCACTAGTTCCATCACAAGCATGGTAATCTCCTTCTCCGTCACCAGCTATGCGGTAATGATCTTCTATCCAAATTCTACAAGAACCAGCATTCATATCTAAATCTACACTGGCACTATATGCTATATATCAAACCAAAATGTCGAATTATTAGAAAAAGAAAATGGAGAAAATACCGAATGTAAGAACTTTACCTTCAATGGCCGGAACAAATGTCATGTAGAAAAACATGAAAATAGCGGTAATAAGGTAAAAGCTTTGGGTCTCATATTGGTATTATATTACGTTTTGTTATTTTATTACGACTATTCTGTAAAAACAAAATTTTTGGTGGGCATAGTAAGGTTATATATCTATATTTATGACCAACCATAACCGTAAAGAGAAGTTAATCAGAAGCATTTGCCGAATTGCCAAGCTTTTTGGTTCTAAACTTCCTCTTAGTAGATTTTCAAATAATTTTTCATTCATTCAAAAAACTATAATTGGCAAAAAATTTCGCACATCTTGGTGTGACATTGTAAATCAAAACGAACCGGGTCCTGTTATTGTTTACGGTTACTATAAAACTAAAGAAAACGAAAACCCTATAAAAACGGAATGTGTTAAATTTGTTGTTCATGTGTAATAAGTGTCTAAAAAAGCACCATTTTGTTTAATTTTCGTTTTTTTGTAATAAGACATAAATCGGACAAAATGGTGCTTTTTTAGACATTTATACACATAAACAACAAATTTAACACATTTCGTTTTTATAGGGAAAGTATATAACAAAAAAGTACTACAGTCTGCAACATTTTTTGCCAACTTTTTCGATGACTCACATTCTTAATATAGAGTGTATCGGATGAGAATAAAATTTTTAACGATTAAACTTCCGGTCACTGGATTAACAGTCGGCATGATTTATTTTGTTGCATTTTTTGTTATAACAAATTAACCATAAACAATAAATTAGGACCCGAACAATACCAGATCCTGTGTAATGAAAATTTCAAAACAAAATTAATTATGATTGTCGGAGAACGTTATACTTTTACGAATAATTGACTGTCGATCATCGTCACGTGGAGTTATACAAATCTCAATTTTTTTTAAAGTATTCCTCCAGGCTTTATAAAGGGAACAACATTACTGTTTGATTGTATTACATTTCATCACATATTTTTCCTATTTTGCAGAAAGCAAAATTCGGGGCACAATCATTTTGGGCATCTTTCTAATTAATTGGTGCCGCTCAAATTCGAAAAAAAAAGGAAATTGGAGAATGCATCTGTTTATTAATTATTTCGTTGTTCGAATTTGTGTGTGAAAGAACACGCGACAAAGATTGCCAAAGAACTATTTGAATAAGTTCATCTAATACACTCCTTCCTAAATTCAAATTGTTCAATAATTTCGTTTTGAATGATTATTAAATCAAAATTATTAAAAAATCTGCTATTTGTTTAAACTATTTAAATAGTCTTTTTCTGAATACCATTTTCCTGAATATCCAATTTTCTGAATGCCTATTTCCAGAAATTGATCATTTCCTGAAACTCCATTTTACCGAATGCCAATTTCCTGAATCTCAATTTCTGGAATTATATGAAACATCCAATTTCCAGAATTCTTTTCTCCTGAATTATTTTATCCCAAATTCCAATATCATGAACCCTGATATTCTGAATGGACATTTCACTGAATTTAATATTATTTTGTATAATTTTACATCATAAATTAGAATTATTGATTTCATAAACTCAACCTTTATTTTATTTAGTATACTAATCAATAAATTATATATAATGTATAGTATATTATAATATGTAATAAACTAACTTGTATTAAAACAAATAAAATAAATAATGCAAAAGTGAGCAGATTTTATTATTCAATCAAAGTATCTGTTTGAAATTTGTACCTATACCAAATCTTTTTCTCCTAAAATGTAAATTAATTATATTTACTTGATGTAGTATGTTTAGGAAAATATTATTAAGCACTTAAACTCAGCAGTGGGGCAGAGAAAAATTTTATTAGCTAAAAATGCAATATTTCCTAATTGATTGTATATTGCCTTATGTTTACTTCACTCCCCAAATTACATATAACATGTTGGCGTTTGTACAATTATAGCAGAGATGCGCAAAGAGCAACATCAAACTCATTTGCCAGCAGAAAGTATTCTTCATGGTGAACCTTTACCATACAAACGCAAGCATCTAATAGATCGTGAAAATCGAATTTTAACAGTTTTTAATAATCGGAAATTCGGAATGATTACATAGTACTTATTGATTATTTGAGAGGAATTTCACATAATATTTCTCTCTAATTGCTCACTGATTTTTAAAACCATATTTTAGTAACCATGATATTTTTAATGCTTTCTATTGTAACAAATTGATGTGTGGAAATTTTAACTATACTCATAGTATGTAAAAGAAATAAATTAGTGTAAAATTTGGTGTTATTATATAGATAAAGTGTTCATTTAGTAATTTTTCTATGCATAATGCGAAATTAATAAATGTTTAGTAACACAGTTAGTTTAATATTACAAAAAGTTGAATTATATTAATAAATCTCTAATAAATTTCATTTATAACCAGTACTTTAAAAAATTTTTACAATTGTTAACATTATATCTGCTTATAATACTATATATTTAAATAATAAAACTTATAGTTATCAATAGTTCTTTGTTTTTTAAATTTATTATATATAGTTTATTTATAAATCATACGAAAATATACAGTTTATTATATAATTCAAGAAATTGTCCATTCGGAATATTAGGATTCGGAATATTAGAATTAAGGATATTTGAATTCGGGATATTGGGATTCAGGATATTGAGATTTAGGATTCGGGAAATTAGACTTCAGGAAATAGGATTCGGGAAATAAGGATTCGGGAAATTGTATATTTCAGGAAAATGTTCAGTTCGGAAAATTGGCATTCAGGCAAATGACTTCGGGAAAAGATATATTCAGGAAAAAGTGGGCATTCAGGAAATCGTACTGTAACCTTTAAATACTAGTATAAAACTGTATGACAGTTATTGTGAAATTCCTGTTCCTGAAGAGTCAAAGAATTTGTATTATTTTGAAAATCAAGAAACCAAGTTGATGCAAAATCTTTATCATTTGACCGAAAACTTTAAAATTTTTGTATTCTTTATTTTCATCACTTTTATCATAGAAGAATCAATTAATATGCATAATATAGCTGCACGCATATGCTTACATGTACCACCACGAAATGTCTTGTTTCTGATTTAATCCAAAAAAGTTCATCCGAATTTCTCCAAAAGAATATGTTCTTTTTGCAGCATTATCTTTAGTTTCATTTTCTTCAAAAAAAAAGTATATTAATTTGTTTATAATTAATCTGTACTGCAGAGTTATAATTTTCTTGATACCAAAATGAAATTTTGAAGTTTTTCATAAAATTTTTAATTAGGTGTAATAAAAAATAAGAAAAATATATAAAGTATCTACGGCTCTAATTTGTGATGTTTAATGTACAGTATGTATCTTTAAAATGGTTATTGAAACTTTTCGACATATATAATTCATATAAAGATTGTGGTGATTCTGCAGTATTCAAATAACAAAGAGAAGAAAAATATCAAACAACATTGAAGATAAATGTTCTCAAAACTTATGTGAATATTTAAGAATTAATCAAATCTTAAAAAAATTTAAAGACATTTATATTTATTAAGCTGTTCTTTAATGGAATTTCCTGAAATAACAAAAGGTTTTTCCGTTCACGTTGAAACCTTTAACTCATATTACCGTTCAAAATATCAAATTCGATTATGAATTATCACTAATCATAAGAGCTCAACCCAAATCTATAAAAGCAGGACGAATTTATTTATTAGGATTTTTTCTGTTTTGCACAAGAAAAAAAAATCAACAAAACCTACTACTTACCATCGCGATTAATGCTAAATTATTTAAGAAATATGGTAGTGTATCATAATTCAAAAGACTTAACTATGTATAATCCTGTCGGGATCTCCCAAAAATCCTGACAACCATAATATCGACAGTCTATAACCCCGACACCAAAATCCCGATAAATGCAAATCCCGATTGAATTAAAATCCTGACAGTCACAGAATCCTGATGATCTAAAATCTTGACAGCCAAAATCCTGACTGGAATGAGTTTGAGATTAGTTAATTTTTAATGCAATTGTTTCTAGTAATTTCAAAAGAATTAGTAATTTAGTAATATACTGTACATAGTCCTTTTAGTTAAAATAAAAAATTTTCCTTTTAATTTCATTAATAATATAGTAACGTTAGTTAATTTGCATTAATATTAATAAAATTTGCAAACAACTTGCATTGGTATTGATAAAATTTACAAATATTTTCGTTAATACTAATCAAATAATTCAAAATATATTTTTAATTATATTGGATAAATTAAGACCCGATACTGCGCCGCTGTATTTTTAAAATTATTTGTTTAATTAAAAATTTATAAAATTTATATAATTTTTTCCCTATAAAAACGAAATGTGTTAAATTTGTTGTTCATGTGTAATAAATGACTAAAAAAGCACCATTTTGTCCGATTTATGTCTTATTACAAAAAAACGAAAATTAAACAAAATGGTGCTTTTTTAGACACTTATTACACATGAACAACAAATTTAACACATTTCGTTTTTATAGGGTTTTTTTTTTAAAAAAAAAAAACTTTGGGATTTTGACCGTCAAGAATTTTAACTGTCAGGATTTGTGACTATCGGGATTTTGTTTCAACCGGGATTTGGGTTTATCGGGATTTTTGATGTCGGAATTGTAGACTGTCGATATTATGGTTGTCGGGAATTTGTGGTAAACCCGTCCTGTCACTTAGAATGTAATACTGTAATGATTACATCCCCTGAGGAATAATTGAACAAATAAATATAGATGAAAGTAATGGTGGTCAGTATATATCTTTGATATTGATTATTTAGCATTAATTATAGTTTTATACAAACGGAAATAGTACTTTCCTTTATTATCTTTATTAACTTTATTGTCTAAAGCGGAATCAAATATCAACTCATCATTAAAGCCAGCCGATTTTGTCAGTTCATTGACAAGTTTATCTATGAACGAGAATGTGAACGTTTTTTCAATCTTTCATTGATAAAATGATAAATATGAAAGACTGGAATTGCAAAAATGGCTAATAAAAAAAAATGGGTATACAGTCTAACCTCGATATACCGATAGTTTATATACCGATAATTGACATATAACGATAAATCTCCTTTGTCCCGTTTCACAATTAATAAAAAAACCTCACTATACCGATATTACATATTGTTTCACGATGTAACATATACCGATGCAATTTCTTTGTCCCTTAATAAGTGATACATAGTACTATATACCGATATTCCAAGTTACACCAGCATATATACTAGCTTTTTTTGTTTTAACGCGTCGTGTTTTAACTAGTAACGATGTCTCAACAACAAAGAAAAAGGAAGTCTGTTCAAGATACCTTCCAACCAAATAAAAGAGTTGTATTGACACATGCACAAAAGCGTCAACTCTGTTTAGATTCTCAGAAAACGCCACGCCCTACTCAAGAGGAACTTGCTGTTTTATATAAAGTTAAGCAAAATACTGTTTCGGATATTTTAAAAAAAAAAGAAAAGTGGTTACTTGTAAACCCAGACTCTGAAGACGCAAATAAACAGAAGGAGAGGCCTGTTTATTTTCCTCAAGTAGAAGAAGCCCTTTCATTATGGGTAACAAATGCACTTGCTGCAGAACTTACCATTAACACTGATATTTTACGTGAAAAGGCTAAATATTTTGCACAGCAATTTGAAATCAATAAATTTTCATTTTCTAATGGTTGGATTGACAAATTCAAAAGACGCCATAATTTAAAAGAATATATTAAGTGGGGTGAAGCCAAAAGTGCGCCATTAGAAACCTTAGATGAAGAAAGAGGTATTTTACGTGAAATTATTAAAGATTATGACTTAAATGATGTTTTTAACTGTGATGAAACAGGTAAGATTTTTTTTCCCAATAAAGCTCCTATTTTTTATATTTTAAGATTTGTTTATTTTAGGATTGTATTGGGATCTTGAACCATCAAAAACATTAGCACAAGGGCCTCTTTCAGGAACAAAGAAATCTAAAAAGCGGGTTACTCTACTTCTTACATGCAATGCTACCGGTACTGAAAAATTAAAACCATTATTTATTCATAAATACCAGAATCCGCGAGCATTAAATGGGAAAAAAAAGAAGAATTACCGGTAAACTATTACTGGAATTCAACTGCATGGATGCAAGTTAGTATTTGGAACGATTATCTTAAAAAATTGGATAGGCAAATTAGATTACAAAATCGCAATATCCTTTTACTTGTTGACAATGCTCCCGTACACATTATAAATGAAGATGTTAATTTAACAAATGTGGTAGTTCATTTTTTGCCACCAAATACTACATCTCATTTACAGCCATGCGATGCAGGGATCATTAATTCCTTTAAAGTTAGTAATTTTTATTATTAATTTGCAATAATAATTTTATTAAGAAGTCTAATTTAATTAATGATAAACTCACAATAATTTAGGCACAGTACCGGAAATTACTTGTTAGAAATAGAATTGAAGCATATGAAATTTCACAAGAACTTAACAAAGAGCCTACTACCATAAATATTCATGATTCAATTGATTTCAGCATGAAAGCTTGGAATTCTGTAAGTCAACAAACCATTAATAATTGTTGGAAACATACAGGAATTCTACCAATAAATAAAATGGAAGAAATTGATGAAATTGAAGATCAAGCATTACATGATGAAATGGAATTACAAGATTTAATTAACGAACTACCATTTGATAATCTTATGGATGCAGATGAATTTCTTCATATTGATGATTGTTTGAAAAGTAATGAAGGGTTAACCGACGATGAAATTGTGTCTATGATAAAGTCAAATAATAATAATGAATCAGAAATGGATCCAGATGAAGAGCCTCCAGTAGTAATTCCCGAAACAAAAGCTTTAGGTTATTTGGATGATCTTGTTTTATTTTTTAAACATTCATCGGATGTTTGTATTAACCCAAATGAATTAAGTGTATTGCAGAAGTTAAGGCATCAAGTATTAAAATTACATGTTAATAACTCAAAGCAAACTACGTTAGATAATTTTGTTCAAATCCTTTAATATAGTTTTTATATAATATACACTAATATGTTAATATAATAAATATAAATAATATATCGATATTTTTCAAAGTATTATTAGAATTTGACTTAAATGAAATTTCTTTATAAAATACACTGTAATTTTATACAAAATTTTATATACCGATATTAATCTACATTTTATTATTAATATCGGTACATAAAATTTTCATAATGTACCGATATTTTGATATACCGATATTTTTTTCCGAAAACATCTATATCGGTATATAGAGGTTTGACTGTAATTATATATAAGTATTTACGTGCCTTAAAGGTTATTTTATATTTATAGTGAAGTCATTAACACCAAAAGGTACAGTATTTACCGTCATCAAGTTTCTTTAAATTAATTTCGCAAATATTTGTATTATTGTATAGGAAAGTAGCCGAAGTAGGTAGCTAAGTAAAGGAACCAAGGTAACGCAAAATAGATCATAATAAAGCGTGTCTTTCTGAAAATTTCAAAGAAATTGTTGTAATATGAATTAAGTACCGTAGGTAGTACTGTATATATATAACAAATTGCAAAGTGGATGACAATTACGGTATTGTGATCGGTTGAGAGACTAGTCTATGAGTGCTTACGTACCGTTTCCCGAGCATTTTTTCCCGAAATTGGTTTACGAAAAATGATTGATTCTGCTGTGAAAAAATAAAATAAAAATAAAATACTTAATTTTTTTTATATAATAATAAATAAATCAATGGAAAATTTAATTTATATTTATATTAAAATTTGCATTGCATTTATTTGTTTAAAACAACACCTAATATTTAAAGAATTTTCTAATGCTTTTCTTTATATATAGCATAATTCAAACACTCAAACTAAACAAGCGAAAGGAAACATATTTACTATAAAAGATTATTTTTCTCAATTTATTTCGTATATCTATTTGTAAAACATTATTTGTATAGTTATGGTAAAACAATACTGATTTTATTATCAATAAACTAATTAAAAAATTTAAAATTTTGCGATATAATGTATTACATATACCCAACTCACATTTTTCATCATTTGATTTGGGAAAAATGTCATGTCGGGATAATGTCTTTCGGGATACGTTTCGTCAGGATATATCATCTTGAAAAAAGTGCTTTCAGGAAAATGTTTATTTGGGAATATGTCCTGTTGGGAAATCATTGTCGGGAAAAGGTACTTTGGGAAAATAGATGTTAAATTATACCGTAACCTAATACATGTAAATTACGTGGTAATTTTTGGGATATGTAACAAAGTTTGAAAATTTATAGCGGTATACAAAATATTCATGAATTCTTTTTTGAATTCTTTTAATCCAAGTAATATAATTTTATTTACATATTGGTCAGAACATTTAATCTAAACGTAGATGAAATTGGGTTCGATGAATAGTACACTGATCAAGAGGACAAACCTGTAAGTATTTTATTTTATCATAATTTCATTAATACAATAGCAATTTTTTATAGTTCATTTTAAAACGATTGCTGTTTAAATCATATCGATCTAAAATGTTGGCTGAGGCGCAAAAATCTGGATTGTCAGTTAGGGAGCTTACAGATATTACGTAATTATTAAAGGGGGTAACCAAAATCTTACGTTAAAATCATATAATTTATAAATAGTAGTATTATAATTTGATAAATCTGACAAGGAGGGAGAGCCGGAGAGGAGTAAGTTTATATTAAATTGAATATTACGTAATATACGTAATTCCCCTTACATAAGATTATCGGTAATCAGATTCTAAACACGCTCTTATTAATATCTTCTTTAAAACTTTTAGGAGTATATCACACATTCTCTTATTGCAAGCTGATGATTATTCCGACATACAAATAAAAAAGTTCTCCGGAGATACACTTGAATCTAGGGAAGGAGGATGATACTAGGAAAAGATTCTAGGAAATAAAAGATTCTTGAGAAAGAAAAAATATCTAAAGAATTTAATTTGACCTTTCAAGTAATTTGACCTTTCAAGAATATGCTGAGGTACAAAAGCTTTTTATATTATTACTTGCAATATTATCTTTGCTAATAATTTCACTTTAGATTGTTCTTGATGAAGAAGATGGCGGCTGGAAGTTATTAATAAAGTCTTATCCCAAAAACTTTTGATAAAACCGAAGAGAATGAACTTTTCGTAAGTAATTATTATTTCAACAATCGTAAATGTGATATCTATTAAACCTGATTTTTCATAGAATAACCCGTGACATTATTATTTTTTTTTAACTATTTTGCAGAGCTAGTAATCTTTCAATGTGTACGTTAAAAGAAAAAGTAAGCGAAGGAACATTAGTAGCCAATTTTATTAGTCTTATATTACGAATCTTTCTACATAACGCTTCTGTTCATCCCGAATACCGCTAGCACCAGTGCAAAGATTCGTAAGCTTGCCAACAATGATCCTTCTTGCGCAAAACAGCCTGACATTATTGGAAAAGTTGTCCATAATGATATTTATAGAAAAATTTCATGAAAACATAAATAAAACCAAAGAGTTTTTTTCTTTTTAACATAAATTATGAGCTTGTGTTCGGAGAAGTGATGGGCGAGGGCAAAAATAACACGAAAAAGAAAAATATCATCGACCTAATTAAATTAGGTATTTTTATGAAAGATTCTATTGACTTGATTCTGCAGAAAACAAATGTCAATAGTGTTTATTCAGATGGCAATGTATTGGTAAGCAAGGAAATTCAAAATTATTTTATTTAATTGTAACAATTTATGTAATTAATAGTATTGAAATGGACTGTATATTTCATGGTTTTAATCGCACCTGGTATTTATGTAATGGTAGAAGCTGGCAATATAAATCTGCCAAAGTCGTTTGAAGCCTGTAGCATGTTTTCAATGGCTTAGATACTTTGAGAACATTTCAGGTATAGCTATTAAAACATGTTTGACACATCTGTTCAATTCTATATACATTGACTAATTAACCGACTCTTTAGGTAGCATATACATGAACGAACAGTAAAAGAAGTTCTTTCGGTAATAATAAGGCCGACGAAGATTCCAAGGATGATAAACTCAAACAATGCTCCAGCGTTTAAAAAATTGTCCGTTTTAAATTTTTCAATGAACATAGATTTTTAAGGTCTATTATTGTTTTTTATTTGCTATATAATTTTACTCTCGCCACAATTATAATGTGTGATTTAAAATGAGCGAACCTGAAATTTGTCACATTTAACATAATATTATAATTTCGTTATGTTTTTTACTATGATATACAATAAATCTGATGAAGGAATAAAAATTTTAAAAATGCATGAATTTTTTTCACGGGAAAAAAAAATTTAATTTAAAAAAAATAATAAATTAAACATAATACAAATAAAATTTGTCTACATTTCTAAAATAAAATAAAAATAACATAATACAAATAAAATAAATTCATTGCTGGATCTTATTATATGTACTACATTAAATGCTTTTAGAGAATCCTGGCCGGATATAGATACTTCTGTGTAGGATATTTTGGTCGGAAGAATTCGTGAATTGCTTTTATGCAGAAAGAAAGGTTGCTCAAGCAACCGCTAAGATCAAACCTTCACAGGATAATAAACCCTTGAACCATGACATAATGCGAAAAAAACAGAAGTCACTTTCGGACCATCTACTTCAAAAACAAGCTTGCTGACAGCGATATGGTTGACGCACCTATTATAGACAGGTACCCGATCTGATCAGGTCAGATTTGAAGCTTTTTAGCGTTTCTTTTTTATTTATAGGAAATATAAAAATAACAATAGTACTAAGAAATTTGTATCATTTAGAGTAGATTTCTATTGTAATCAAAATAAATATTTTTGAAATTTTAATATTATGTTTATTATATATATTAGTTGGTATACTGATATATCAAATAGTAAATGACCTGATTGTACTTTATTTGAATAACCTGATTAGAAATAATTATTTGAATGCCCTGAATGAATATTCTGATCGGAACACAAGTGTCGCAACAATCGGGTTCCCCAATTGATGAAAATAAGGACCAATCAGGGTCAGATTTCACCTGATTGTTCCCCTATTTGACATCGTTCGAACATTTGTCATGAAGCCAGAATTAATTATACAAACTGCTGATATGATGTCTAATATATGATGTAGCATAATACGCCTGATTTGGTTTCTTTATTTTTTTATGTTTTAACTTTAATATAGGATCTTATATGTAGTAATATAGAAATTTATATAATATTTAAAATATATATATGGGTTTACCACAAATTCCCGTAATATCGACAGTCTACAATTCCGACACCAAAAATCCTGATAAACCCAAATTCCGGTTGAAACAAAATCCCGATGGTCACAAATCCTGACAGTTAAAATTCTTGACGGTCAAAATCCCAAAGTTTTTTTTTTTTAAAAAAAAAATAAATTATATAAATTTTATAAATTTTTAATTAAACAAATAATTTTAAAAATACAGCGGCGCAGTATCGGGTCTTAATTTATCCAATATAATTAAAAATATATTTTGAATTATTTGATTAGTATTAACGAAAATATTTGTAAATTTTATCAATACCAATGCAAATCGTTTGCAAATTTTATTAATATTAATGCAAATTAACTAACGTTACTATATTATTAATGAAATTAAAAGGAAAATTTTTTGTTTTAACTAAAAGGACTATGTACAGTATATTACTAAATTACTAATCTTTCGAAATTAGAAATTCCTATCTATATACTAAAAAAATTGGTGTGTAACCGTTACGTTTAGATTAACCTGTATAAATTAATTTTGTATAGCTAAGACACCAAGTCATATTCAATTCCGGTTAATAAAGATTATTAGATCGATTTATCTTTTTTTTTTCAATTTATTTTTTTCATTTTTTTTAAACCTATTTTTAAAATTTTATCTTTTCTTTCGGACCGAATTGAATTCTTTCAGTTCCCTTTTTTTTAAATTTTCTTTTTTTTCCTTGAATCGATCTTTTACTTTCAGTTCTTTCTTTTTTTTTTAAGTTTCCTCTTTTCTCTTTCGAACCTTTTTCCTTTTTCTTTTCCTTTTTTTTTCCTTTTTTTTTAAAAAAATTTTCATTTTTCCCCCCTCTTTTTCGGTTTGGTTTTTTTTCCAACCCGGAATTTTTGTCGGTACTTATTTTTTTTACGGATTCCTTTTCTTTCTTTCCTTATCCTTTTTCTTTTCCCCAAATTTTATTTTTCGCTTTTTTTTTCAATTTCTTCATTGTTATTTTTTTTCCCCCCAAACCACATTCTAGATTTGGATCGGTGATCGGATCGACGCTGTGGCACAACGGTAATTGCCTTTTTCCCCGATTCTTATTATTATTAGTAATAATATTTTCCCTAATTATTTTTTAGGCTCAATATAAATAGACTGACATATAATTTACTTATTTATTTATTTTTTGTAACAATAGATCGGTTTAGTAAATTCTATGGGAAAATGTTTTTTTTCATGACAAGAGATTGTTATAATTGGGGAATTTTTTTTTCATAGTAAGGGGATGGCCAGAAATGACGTCATTTCCTAAGGTAAGACCATGATGATGTTACGCACCTTCTATTTTTAGACACTTGACGTAATTTAAATTTTAGGATTTTGACCCCTCCCTATGTCATCATTAACTACATTTCTGGCCATCCCCTAATAGATTGTTATAATTATTTTTGGGGGGATTGAGAGATTTTTTTGGGAGGATTGCTAACCGATCACCGCCTGGGTTTTTTTCCAAATATGTCACATGATTACAAATTTATTAGTCAGCTGATGGCTGATTTTTTAGCTATTAAAAATTTTTTTGCTTATTTATTCAAAATAATCTTATTTAATGACATTTTATTTGCAAATATTAAAATTTAAGCCACACATTTACGATTTTAAAGAAAAAAATCACCGTATTTAAACAATAACAATAAATAAAAAGATAAATAAATTACAATGACCAAGGAGAAAGATGCTAATAAAAAAATGAAATAACAATGGAGTAATGGAAAGTAATAGAAGATGAAAGAGAAAAAAAGAGTAATGAGAAGTGATAGGAAACAAAAAGGAGAAATAGGACATGATGGGAGACGTAAAGAAGTGATGAGAAGATGAAGAGGAGTAATGGGATTATTACTCTTTTTATTACTCTCTTACTTGATGGGCAAGTATAATTCCCGCCGCAACGTGACGGGTTACACCTAGTAGTATATACTGTATATATATGTTGTGCGTCAGGTGTCGATTTGCGTCAGATGACAGCTGACGCGCGTCAGATGCCAATTTTGAATAGTTTCTTATAAGTAAACATTTTTATTTATTAATTAAATTGTCTTTTATTTTATAAGTAAATCTGTGCATCATAATAAATACCATTAATGCTGAATTATATATTACAGATAATGTTATTCAAAATTTTTGCTATAATTAAACATAATTTTTCAGTCTTAATGTGCTTTTATTGCCTAAGTAAATTAGTTCATCACATTTTTAAATATATAATGCTAAAATTTCAACACGTTCGGATTCATATTGGCGGAAATTTCCTTCTTTAAAATATGCAGTTGTCATCTGACGCACAACCTCATATGGTCTATTCGTCAGAATTACCACTGATTTACCTACTATATAATTTTACTATCTATTTTATATTACCATATCAATTTTGGTTCATCATTCAAAATCAACATTATTATTAGTAATATTTTTATTATCACTTTTACTACTTTTACTGTACAATTAGTTTTCTACATTTTATAACAAAAATAATTCATTTTTTTTTACAATATAAACGGAATTTATATATAAACGTATATCAGACGCATAAAAAACGTATCATTTCCATATACAGATGAATTTAAAAATGTGGTGATTTTCAATATGCTTGGGAGAATAAATAAAAAAAGAAAGGGCATGTTTTTTCTTGGCAATCATAATTAATTGATTTTCAAGTAATATAATTACATCATTAGCATGATTTTCCATTCCTTAGTGTTTATGCAAATCAGATCTGAGTTTTTTTAGTATTGTTCTCTTCGGGGCATTTACTATACTTGTCGTTGGGATTAAATACGGCATATGGAAGTAATGGAACTTATGTGAATATCGTAAAATAGAAAAATCAGGTTACGGTGCATTTCACTGAAATCATTTCACCGAATCGTCCATTTCACCGAATTCCATTCCGCCGTGGTAGCGATTAACATTTTATGAAAAATATTCATCGCGCAATGAAAATAAAGAAATAAATTATTTTAGAGATCTTTTTTTCCCAGGATATTATCACTTTAACATTCAAGTAACTGATATTAATTGCTAAGCAATAAATAAATAACTTTAAGTAAAAAAAAAAGATTAATAAACAACGAGATAAATTTAATAAAAATCATCTAGATAATTCAAATAAGGAATAAAATTATTTACTTTTAGTAGTATTACTTTGTTTTTGTAGCTTTAAACTTTGAAATGCTAAATATATTTAAATGAACTTTTTCCTAAAAAATTTTGAATAAATTCAATTAATGCACTCCTTTCTAATTCAAATTGTTCAATAATTTCGTTTTGAATGATATTTTTTGATCAAAATTATTATATTTTATTATCAATAAACTAATTAAAATTTAAAAATTTGCGATTTACAGTATATACCCAACCCAAAGTTATATTTTTCATAATTTGATTTATGAAAATATGGGATACATTTAATAAAAAATTGCGGTGTAAAAAATATTCATGAATTCTTTTTTGAATTCTTTTAATTCTTCCAAGTAATATAATCTTTTATTTACATATTGATTATAAAGAAAGAATAATTTTATTGTCAGTCGCTTTATCATTAATTAATAAGCATGCTTTTGAATTTTAATTAAGTTATCTTTTGATTTCTACTATGGACTGAACATTTAATAATAACAATTCGATGAAATATCAACATTTTGGGACTTACAAAGATACTTATAAAAATAATTTAACTAATAGGGATAATATAAAGTAAGTATAATAAATAAGAATATAAAATAATAGAAACTAGAGAAATAATTTAATTGATTTACGTCTTCAATACCGATGGGATAATAACTTAATAACATAATAACAATTAAGATCATGTACAGCTATCATATTGATCAAAATAAAAATCAGAATTTCCATGTATACGAAAACATGTATTGTTATTGAAAGAACCTCGGACTTTCTGTTTCCTAAGAGATAAATGAACTTTCGCAACTACATAGTACTCTTGATCTGGAAAATCAATTTCTTTAGAGTCACCACTAGTTCCATCACAAGCATGGTAATCTCCTTTTCCGTCACCAGCTATGCGTTCATGATTTGAATCTTCAATCCAAATTCTACAAGCACCAGCATTCATATCTAAGTATACGCCGACACTATATGCTATATCAAACCAAAATGTCGAATTATTAGAAAAAGAAAATGGAGAAAATACCGAATGTAAGAACTTTACCTTCAATGACCGGAGCAAATGTCATGTAGAAAAACATGAAAATAGCGGTGAGAAGGTAAAAGCTTTGGGGACTCATATTGGTGTTTTATTACGTTTTGTTATTTTATTGCGACAATTCTGTAAAAACAAAATTTTTTGGTGGGCATAGTAAGGTTATATATCTATATTTATGACCAACCATAACCGTAAAGTTAATCAGAAGCATTTGCTGAATTGCCAAGCTTTTTTGGTTCTAAACTTCCTCTTAGTAGATTTTCAAATTCATTCATTCAAAAAACCTACTATATTGGCAAAAAATTTCGCACATCTTGGTGTGATATTGTAAATCAAAACGAACCGGGTCCTGGAATCCTGTTATTGTTTACGATTACTACAAAATTAAAGAAAACGAAAACCCTATAAAACGAAATGTGTTAAATTTGTTGTTCATGTGTAATAAGTGTCTAAAAAAGCACCATTTTGTCCGATTTATGCCTTATTACAAAAAAACGAAAATTAAACAAAATGGTCTTTTTTGGACATTTATTACACTTTACTGAAACTTTTTAAAAATATGATTGACATATTGCATATGCATTTCTGTATGTCAAACATATGTTAAAAATACAAGATCGAAATATATTTAGAATATGAAAGCAATATTTCTATTATAAATTAAAAATGTGTTAAATGTCAAATGTAAATGTAACCAAATGTGGTTACAGTACGATTTCCTGAATGCCTTTTTCCTGAATATATTTTTTCCCGAAGTCATTTGCCTGAATGCCAATTTTTCGAACTGAACATTTTCCTGAAATATACAATTTCCCGAATCCTTATTTCCCGAATCCCATTTCCTGAAGTCTAATTTCCCGAATCCTAAATCCCAATATCCTGAATCCCAATATCCCGAATTCAAATATCCTTAATTATAATATTCCGAATTCTAATATTCTGAATGGACAATTTCTTGAATTAATAATAAATTGTATATTTTCTCATATGATTTATAAATAAACTATATAATAAATTTAAAAAATAAGAACTATTGATAAAGACTAATTTCTACCATTTTATATAAAACAATTGAATATGAATTTTATATGTCATAATTATGTAATTTGGGAGTGGCTATTTCAAGCATCCCTTGCCTGTACAAGTA